ACGAAACAAAGCTCACGTGATTAGCACCGGCGTTCCCACCCCCACCGTCTGGCTAAGAACTCTTTAAAGCAACGGAGTCACCTTTCCAGGCACGTAACCACGGGGTGAATTGTATTTTTGCGTGAATCGTAGATGGCTCCACTTCTCTCTTTCTGTATCCTTGACCCTTACTAAAAACTAAACTATTTATATTTTGCCAAGGCCCACTGAGCTATACACAGCTCGTTTTCAGAAGCGACCTGGCCACAAATGATGACTCAACAAAATGGCCTATCGTGTGAAGAGTTATTCCTACGAGGAATAACTCTTATCTGTGATAAAGTGAGAGACATATGACGGATCCTAATATCCGTGGGATTGTCTGCAAATTAACTCCACTTAATACGCAGGAAAAATAATGACTGGGAACATTAGGCGTTTTTCGCAGACACTACAGCTGCCGCAAATAACAGGAGTCGCGGTTAAGTGTCGCAGATAAGACAAATGTTCCAGTTGTTCCTCCAAAATCCACTTGGAATGCTTTAATTTATTCCCGCCCACTTGTTAATATGGCTCCGGGCTACGATGAAAGGATTAAGACAGTCCACAAGAGAATTCCACATCGCCTACCACTGACTCATGTCAAATCTTAACGGCGGATACGATACGAACTCGACTGTCACACGTTTTCGGTTCATCCGTGAGATAATACAACTTGCAAGATAAATTCAAAATTTCAACACATCACTCTATGGGCATTAATTAGAATGTCACGCAAACCTTATCCACAACAGGGATGCTGAAGAACCCAACACGCCCCCCACCCCCCGTCGGACTGGTCAGACTAGATTGAGCGTTTGCCTAAATTGGGTTTGTTTTATTTGTGCAAAGGTTTAATTAGAGGGCGGCTGCCGACCTTGCTCTGAAATGTCTGTCTTCATTTTTTTAAAAATGTGGTCACGTTGTGCATATGCATGGATTATTTAATGAGTTCAACATGCGTTTGTATTTGGACGTTTTTTCTTTAATTCGCACTCTGGCAGAGGACATTTAGCTGTCGGGGGAAAACGCATGTTTGCATAGCGCTGTTTAAAATGGCCCTTGTCACTCTGGTTTCACTCTGGTTCTCAATTGGGTAAGTCCCCAAAAGCAACACTTTTAATAAACGTTTGTTCATGTATGACGGAATTCACGTTTTGGATGGACAGAGCTAATCATCCTTGGTGAGAACTGATGAGAATAATTGTGTATTGCAAGAACAGAGATCGAGAGCGTATCATTTCCAAAAGACTATCAAGAACCAGTGAAACACTCATTAGTACAAACTAAGCATATGGTTTCCACACAGGAAACCCGAAAACCACATTGCCATGACGACACAAAACTCCTAGCATGGCCCCAGAGAAAATGGTCAATAAATACCTTTCTGACCTCAACTAAAGACAGAAATCACCTTCACAGCAAGCAGGCTGGAAAGGTCAAAGACCTGCGTTCACAGATTTTGGACAATCTGTATCCATTCATTCATGCACTTTGACCAAATCACCCCTGCATGCACCACATCGTGTCATATCTCAGAAGCCAAGCACAGGTGTGAGCCTGGAGAGCACTTGGATGGGTTGTGACCATCATGCGTACGACAGGTGAATTATTTGCAGTTGTGGGAGAGTCTAAGGCAGTGAGGTAAATGTACATTTTTGCTCTGTCCAGTACTCCGCTCCACCTTCATCAACCTGCACTGATCAGCGTGGTGAAGTGGGTGCCACGGTGGCGAGACGTTAACTACCTCGCCTGGTATACAGGATGTCGTGGGTTCGATCTCGACCCTAATATGCCTGTGAATTCGGAGTTTGCATGTACTCCCCGTGGTCGCGTGGATTTTCTCTCTCCGGGTCCTCCGGTTTTTCCCCTCCCCTTTCAGAAACATGCGTTTGGAGTATTTGGCTGCTATAAATGTCTACACGATAAGCCACCTCGTTGAGCTGTTATTTGTCGCCAGGTCACGTCTGAAAAAGAGATTGTATACTCTCTGGTTCGACGTGACTTTACCGAAAGAACCAAGAGAGTATGGATTCCTGCAGTCACGAAAGCTTCAAATCAAGAGCTATATAAGCTCAGTGGGCCTGACCTGGTAAAAAAAACTCTTTACAAGTACAGTACAGTAAAAAAAACCCTCACGATCCACACAGGCGTGGCAAGGCCCTCATCCAGCAGTGGACTGCCAAAAGAGCGGCACACACTGCAGCAAACACAGCAACTTCCTCGCATTGAGGGCGGATGGATATACGTGAACGTGGGAAGAAAATGCCACCACCGTTAACACAACCGTGCACAAATCCTACACTGGGGTGTGTGGTTGATTATGGAGGAGGCTCGTGAAGGACGCTGCTGCTGCTACTGCTGGGCAGTTGGAGGCAGTCGCCCTCCAGCAACAACGGAGGGCAGAGGAGCGACGCTCACAACAACAAGCGGAGCACCGGGCGGGTAAAACGCAGCAAGTTGGCACAATAGGGAGGGAGGGGCACAGCTGGTGGTGCATCGGCCCAGTCATCTCGATCAGTCGACCCGTGGCACCTGCTGGGTCTGCCCAGTGACCTCCTGCCAGCGGGCGTTCGAGACGCTCAACACGTGGTGGCCTCAACGTGCACACAGCCTGGCACCGAGCGCCGTGGTGACGTCGCCGCCACTTAATTGGCGAATGGCGCTTGCTGCTGCTGCTGTTGTTGTTGTTGGGCCAATTGGCCGGGTCGGATATGCTACGCTGGTAAACCGTAGGACCGCGAAGAAGTCGGCTCCGTAAACGACGAGCGAGCGAGCGAGGTTGGTGGTGGTGGTGGTGCCACGCTGCTGCCGCCGCCGCCGCCTTTGGCGCGCGCCGCACTTCCGCATTTGGGGGGGGGGTGGGTGAGTGGGGGTTCAATGGGCCTCGTAGCAGCACAGCAAGCAAACACCACCAGCCCACAACAACAACAAAACAACAACAAAACCACGGCAACATAGCCGTGTACATCCCGCGAAGAAGATACCGAGAGTCAAAGGACTGTGCGCGGTGTAGGGGCCAATCCATTGATTAAATACTCAAAAATCTGTCAAAACTTGACACTTACCCCCCCCCACCACCACCACCACCTGCGTACGTTCACCTGACGCCCCCCGCCCCCCCCCCCCCGAATCCTATAGAACGGCCGATATTTAATCCACGCAAAACCGATCAATGATTAATAATATTAACGCGTTTAAGCAAACAGATAGTCCGCACCGCCGGACTATCTAACTCATTTGAAGGCTAATGTAGACAAATTATTATCGAGGCTTCACCCGCCCTGCCGCCCCCGTTTCCTATGCGCACATTGTTAGTAGACCCCCCCCCCCCATACACAGGCGAACGAGTTTGGGTTAACCTTCCTCCTCCATGCGTACCTACTAAATGGATGGCCCCAGCCAGATTAAAGAGAAAAGCAATGGTTAAATCCTCCACACGTGTCTCCTCCCACCAAACTCAAAAGACACATTTTTTTTTCAAAAAAAAAAAACCCGTTCCACACACACTCTTACCGAGGCACTTTGTCGGTGGCAGGTCTGCGTTGAAAATAAAGAAAGATGTTTATTAGATATATCCTAATTAGGATGTTGGCCGTAGTTCGTGACACAGATGTCCATTTACACGAACACATATGTAGTATACCAAGGCCGTTGCCATGGAGTCAACATTGGAGTGGGACCGTTTGTGTTATGGTCGAAACGTCGTGAGAATTTTTATTTTTTATATATATTTTATTATTTTATTGTTTCCCTTCAACGTGACTTTACCGAAAGAGCTAAGAATATGAATTACTGCAGTCACGAAAGCTTTAAATCAAAATTTAAACAGAAATCTAATTTATAGCTATATATTGGGGGGGCACATTTTGAGCATATTATAATTAAGGCCTTGCAGTATACCCATGGATACATGCAGCTATTTGAATACTGTACAGTAAGTACACTGGAACATATGCCACCCACGTTAGCTTTGGGCAGGCATCCAAGCACAGTTCACCAGGGTTCATAGGGCAGTGTGCTCACCACTGCGCCACCACTCCAACGCCCAATACAAATAAATAAATGCCCAACATTATTACTCAACACAATGCAGCACTTAAAGGGAGACACACAGTATACATAGGAGATGCACACTTCGATTCAGTATATTCATGGAAACGTAAATGAAGCCAAACTGGCACATATATGACAACACTTACACGTACATACATGATACATTTATAATAATATTAAAGATTGTTCCGGGTTAAGCCGCACTTCGGCTTCGAATAAAGGTGAAAGTGGACGAAACTCAGAAACGTGGACACATACATGACCACCGCTATACACACGCACATCGAAATGTAAACGCCACATGAATTAAAAGTATAGTCGCATTCACATGAACTCACACATACATTAAGACACACACACACATAGCCACATATAACCAGAGACAACACATTTATGCAGTGGATAGATGGGCGATTAAGTGATTACGCTTTGGATTCATGCATAGGCACAATGACACACACACATGCATGGACACATACTGTCTATTGACACACGTGTATGTACGTGAACTCACGAAAACATGCCACCAAGTAATATGCACGCGAACACACACACCTGGACACACAACACGTACTTATATAACATGAAAACAAAGAACCCCCGTATAGCCTTAGCAAACTGTTGGGGGGGGGGGGCAAGTGCTGTTAGGGAACTTTGCACACACTCAAGAGATGCAGTGCATGTTATGAACAAACACACCCACACATTACATAATATTTACACGCACAGTAATTACAATCTGAAAGCACAGTGGCACAAGCGCGCAATCCCAACCCAGTGACATTCGCACTGCCAACCCAGCACCTTTGAAACACTCTGATCAATCCCGGAAGCAGCAGAAGCACCACCACCACCACCCACCACCACCACCCACCACCACCACCACGAGTTCTCAACCCATGGTGGGTCAAACCTGCCTGCCGTACCAGGTTCAGCACCGTGTCCACCACCTCCCTGCTGGACGTCTGTCCAGCCAGCACCTTCTCTCTCAGCGCCGCGAACTCGTCACCTCCAACACAACCACCTCCACCTTCTCCACCATCAGCAGGAGCAGCAGTTACAACAGCAGCAACGGCAGCAGTAGCATCAGCAGCAGCTGTGTGAGCTATCACCGCTGCATCGCCTGCCCCGTCGACCTCCATAGCTTCTCGTGGTTTGGGTCTCTAGACCCTTTGATTTCCCAGCCTTGCTCGCCCAGGGGGGGCTGCTCTAGCACCCGGCCATGAGTAAGGACCACACGGGGCGGAGAGGCGGAGTGTGTGGGGAGCGAGGGTGGGGGTGGTATCACAGACAGCCGCCCACACGCGGATTGATTCCGTAGCGCGGATAAGCGCGGGTCCCCGCCCTCCTCGTTGCTCGCCTCGCCCCTTCACGCCCTAACCCCGCCCTCTTCGCGCTCAAGCCACGCCTCGTTGACCGCTAGTCCCCGCCCATGTATGCCGCTTGGCTCCGCCCTTATCCTGCCTTGGCCACGCCCAGATGTGCGATGGGACCAATCGCGTGACTCAACGGCTTTCCGGCTCATCGGCGCGTTTGAGAGAAAGCTGGGCGGAATGGCCCCCCCCCCCGCACCTCCAACTGCCACGGCGCCCATCCGCGGTGGGAAATGTAATCGATTTGGAGATTCGATTTGGTAGAGCGGACGCGCATTCGTGACTCACAGAGGTGGGGGGCGACGTCCCGCGCACAGGTGAACACGAGAGGCTTAACGATTCCAATCGATAAATGACGATTCACGTAGTTAACGATTCGCGTGCAAATATATTTTTTTCAATTCGTGATATTTTTTTTAAATGCTGTATGTAATGTAATGGGTTCCACGTGGAACCTGCAGCCAACTAGAGGCCGCTTACATGGAACACCGCGTTTAAAAATAACAATCGATTCCTGTAATCGAATCGCTTCCGTGAATCGTTACACCCCCTTACGCTCAAGGTGACGTGGCCCTGCAGTGCCGCATGACGCGGTGGCATTGACGCGCACACGTGGATACGATCTCGGTCTACCTTGCCCATGGTTAACCTCAATCCACTGCTGGATTACGATGGCCTCCTCGCATTGTGGCATATTAGCCTATGCCAGGGGGTCCGCAACCTGCGACTACGGAGCCTAAATATTGAGGGGTGGTTTTTTTTTTACCAAATTCGAAAAAAAATTTCTTGTTAATTTTATGGCCGACCAGTGGCCTATGCTCACAGTCGTGTCGCTAGTAACGACCAAATGTCCCGGAATGCGCGCACGAACTCGTAATATATCTCGGAAAGATCAGCAGTGCTGAGTCTGGGAACCGCTTTCCGTGGGAGACCACGATTGCAAGTGACGACATTGGGCTTGTGGCTACGTGGTTTTGTAGCCCGATAGCAGTACAGAAACATACATTTGTTTCCACGTCGTTACGTTCAACGCATTCCAACTCGGCACTGACCAGCGTGAAGTATGGTGAAATTCCAGAAGCCACACAACGTGGGAGAGGCCCTCAATTCAGCAGTTGGATGGCTGCATAAAACAGGCAGCACGACATGATGATGTCGACTTTTATTCAGTGAACCATGTAAGGTTTCACAGTGGAGGTATATTATTCACTATGTATGGGCTCTTTCACCTGTGTTAAGTAATTCCATTATTACACGTTTTTATTTGAACTCGCAAATCACTCCCACGTGTTTTTTTTTATCCCGTGGCATTTTCAAATCAAAAATTCAGGCTTGTCAAATGTAACCAAATCAATCATTTTTTCATTTGCAAGTTGTGTTTATACACATCACAGATAATGCTGTCCTTTGGACTTTTCGCTTTGACATTTTCTCGCAAAAGTGACATCTGAATAACACACCTCCACTGAAATGCAGTCTCAAATGCCCCACCTGACCAGTGCCTTTACCTGCGATCACGTTCAGCTACTGTAGAGCTTAATTCAATATTTATCTCAGTTAACTACGGAGTGGTTATAGAGACGGCGAAAGAAAAAGAAAACAGGAAAGACGGCTTTCAGAGATGGCGAGAGATGAAATCAAATTGAGAATTTGGAGGTCGCAAAAGACAAGGGCAAGCGAGGAAAGGAATGGGAAGAAAATCGGGAGAGGCTTTTTGCCCTGCAGTGTGAAGTTACAGGCTGACAGAAAACACCGTTCACGTATTAACATCGAAGCGAGTTCCTGTTCTTGATTCTGAATCTAATTTGCAACATATCAACAATACATTGGTGGGGTACAGTCAATGTATGCACCAGATGAGGCAATGGTGTGTAATGACAATATTTGTGCATTACGTAACAGTAATGCGATGCTTGGCCAATTACATTTGTGAGTGAGTGGTATGTGTTTGATGCATGGGGGCTCAAGAGCCTAAAGGACGTGCGTTCTTTTTAAGCGGCTTTGCTGCTCGCTACAGTGACATGTTCTCTGCGCTCACGCTTTCAGGCGGAATTGTCTCCCAGTATTGCACACGGGTAATGTTACTCTCTCCACTCTGTCTCTCCTTCAACTCGCGTGGAATGCGGGCCCGATCTTGCAAGATCAAAGAAGCCAAATAGAGACGAAACCTGGATAGTCCCCCTAGATCGTGCATGAATGGGCGACTGCCATGGATAACACTGTGTAACAATTTTTTTGTTTGTTCCTGGGTAGTAAGTGTTATTTCCTCATTGCTTATTCCTCGAAAGTACAAAAAAATGGCTATTATTCTCCACAAACTTTGCTTTTGTGACCAGGACCTATTTCCAATGAGAAAACTGGCGAATTTGTGTCTTTTCGTTCACATAAAGTCAGAAAAAACAACATATTGATCAAAATTAACACGTATTTGTACTAAAGTAATACAAAAATGAGTACAAAAGATTTAGACACCAAGGCCACTACCACAGGCGGAACTGGCCACAGCGGACCGAGGTCTCTGTGGGGAGGAACAACGTCAAGTGGGAGCCACTGGTGGACCCCCGGAAGGTGCTGATGCCACCACTGCACATCAAATTGAGCCTTATGAAACAATTTTTCAGAGCTGTAGATAAGGAGTCGGCAGCCTTCAAGTACCTTCAGGACTTCTTCCCGAAGCTGCCTGAGGCAAAGGTCAAACCCGGTGTCTTCGTCGGACTACAGATAAAGAGGAACCTGAAGTGCAATGAATTCCCCAAGAAGCTCCCTAGTAAGGAGAAAGCGGCTTAGAACAGCTTTGTCGCAGTGGTTCGTGGCTTCCTGGGCAATCACAAGGTCGAAAACTATGTGAAGCTGGTTGAGACTGGTGAAGAACTACGGCACAATGGGCTGTAGGATGTCCCTCAAAGTCCATATCCTTGATGCTCAACTTGATAAATTCAAGGAGAACATGGGAGCGTACTCGCAGGAGCAAGGCAAGCGCTTTCACCAGGATATACTGGGCTTTGAACGCCGCTACCAAGGACAATATAACGAGAACATGATGGGAGACTACATTTGGGGGCTGATTCGTCAGTGATTTACAGTATAATCGTAAATCTCGAAAAAACTACTCACTTCTAAATCTTTTATAGTAATTTTTGTATTACTTTAGTATAAATACATGTTAATTTAATTCATATGTTATTTTCTCCTGAATTCATGTGAACGAAAAGACAGAAATTCGGCCGTTTTCTCATTGAAAATAGGTAAATTTCGAAATGTCACTGTCCTGGTCACAAAAGCAAAGTTTGTGGGGAATAATAGCCATTTTCTGTACTTTTTAGGCATAAGCAATTACGAAATAACACTTACTACCCAGGAACAAAAATTGTGTTACATCGTGTAATAGATGTAGGGATGCTACGGGTGTGCAACAGAGGGCAGTGCAGCAAATCCATGTTGTACCGCCTTCACCAAACCCGCACTGAACTGCGTGGTCAAGTATGGTGAAATAACACCACACCACGACCCACACGGCTTTGGGGGGGGGGGTAGTGGGGGGCTTATTTAACAGTGAATTGACAGGGCTGTACATGCACCTCGCTTCCTTTATAATATGCTGTCTTGAGGTATGTGCTAAATTAAGATACAGCACCACATCTGCTGCATTAGACTCTCTGAATCACATTTACAGTAGCCTTGATAATAAGCAGTACTGTGCCTGTCTTTTTCTTGACCTGTCCAAAGCTTTTGATACAGTAGACCACAACACTCTGCTTAGTAAACTAAGTTGCCTCGGTTTTTCCGAAAACGCAGTAAAATGGTTACAAAATTACCTCTTTTCTCGCACCCAAACTGTATTCACAGATGCTTGGAGGTCAAACAGTGTTAAGATAACAAAAGGGGTTCCACAGGGTTCCATCCTCGGCCCCCTTTTGTTCTCTCTTTATGTCAATGACTTGGGCACTGACCTGGATCATTCCAGGGTAAAGATTTTTGTAGATGAGACGATACTGATTATTTCTGGCCGCTCTCCGGATGACGTGATTGCTAAGGTCCAGGGTGATTTCAACAAACTACAACATCAGCTAGTTGCTCTTAAACTAGTCCTGAATACCTCCAAAACCAATGTGCTATGCTTCTCACCAGGACTAAAGCAGAAAGTTATTTTTCCCCAATTACATTCCATAAATAATTATCAAATAGAGCAAGTCAAGATCTATAAGTATCTTGGGGTCATCCTGGATTCAAAACTGAATTTTGAAGATCACATTGATTATATTGGTAAAAAGACAAAAATTTAAATTGGTTTTCTGTATCGACACAAGCACTGCTTCCCCCCTTTGTTCCGTTTGAAACTGATAAAAGCTACCATACTGCCTCTATTTGACTACTGTGACATCGTGTATAAATCAGCTCCAAGTACTGTACTGAAGAAGCTTGATTCCATCTATCACTCGGCCTTAAGATTTACATTGAACTGCCCATATAGGACTCACCACTGTGATCTCTACATTGGGTCAAACTAAACATCTCTTAATTTTCGACGGCTTGTCCACCAGATCTTATTTTTTCACGATGTACTTACAACAAAAATCCGCAGACTACCTGCTGGATCTCTCTGTTTCAAAGAACAAATTTAACCTCAGGTCTTCGCTCATTCACCAGCTTCACATTCCCTATTGCCGTACAAAAACTGGAGGAAGGGCCTTTGCTATTGATGCCCCCAGGGTCTTGAATGCTATTGCCAATAAACTACAACTTGAATCGCTACCAATGAGATCTTCTCTCAAAACTGCTCTAGAGTAGTTGTACACCCCTAGCTGCCACTGCTATTCATTGGCGTAAAATAAAATAAAATGTTTCGCTCCGGATGACGCTGCAAAGTATTATCTGTATTTTAATTTAGCGTGCTGATCTTAAAGGTGCATTGAAAAATTTGATACTCCGACTGATGCTTCTGTTGTTGTGGAGTAACTCATGCAGCCAGCTATGGCTCTAGGGTTTGGTGTTACATGTTATTTATTTAGTTTATTGTAAAAAAAAATTAGGTCACAGTCCCTATGATCACTGTTACATTGCAACTATGGCTTTATTTTTTGGTGATTTCAAAAACGTTTTTTGGTTTGGACATGTTTGTTTTGTTGTAGTACGGAGTTAGACTGATGGCCTTAATCTAAGTTTTCTTGTGGTTGTTGTTGTTGTTTGACTTGCATCCCACTGGGATTTTTGCACACAGCGTTGGTGTACGGTGTTTTTTCAGCATTATTTTGCTGTTTTTTTCATGGATTTTCTGTTTGCACTGTCACATAGTCACTTTAAGATGTTTTCTTGTTCGTGTTTCTGTTTTTTTTTTGTGGTTGCACCCGATTCAAGAGCCGAATGGCTCACAGGGCTATACCAAATAAATAAACTGAAACAAATCCGTTTAATATTGAAATTAATACAGTGCATTATAAATTCTTTATTTATGCTAGAAGAATTCGATGAGCTATGAACCTCTTTTTCACAGACGTCCAAATTAAAGCCATGCTTTTGTTGATATTGTAATGATATTAATTTGCCAGTTGCGCACTCAATGACTATATTCATTCAATTGCCTTATTTATTTTAATACAGCACTACTGCAGCGCATCACTCTGGAAATCCAAATTCTCGAAGTCTTAAGGTCCTGTCGAGAATAATTGTCCATGTTGCCTCTAGTACGGTATTTATACGTGTTGGATGAAACCTCAGTGGTCGGAGAAAACCCACGCTTTGGAGGAGAACCTCCGTACAGATATCCGGTTCTAAGCCTCGTATGCACTGCCACCTAGAGGCACCTCCTTGCCCTGCAGGTGAATTATTAAGAGTTTATTACGAGCGTCCGTACATTTAAAATTACTTTTGGCAATCCGCTGCTAGCTAAAGGCTATCTTTCCCACGCCGTGTGCATCGTTGTGGGGGGGGGGGCATTCGATCATACTTCACCAAACAAGTCAGTGCGGGTAGGTGAAGGAGGGGAAGCACGTTGACACGTTGGAGCAGAGTACATAATAGCAGGTACATGTGGAGTAATTGATTTATGCATATTCTAGTTACAGATACCGATTTTTTTTGCCAAACTTGTCATCTATAAATTGATCACACTATTTCCCCCGCCACAAACAGTATCACTGCCGATAAGAATAGGTTTTACCCTTTCTGGCAATAAGACAGGTTTTGATTTAAAGCTTTCGTGACTGCAGGGATTCATATTATTGGTTCTTTTGGTAAAGTCACGTAGAAGGGAAACAATAAAATAATAAAAATATAAATATATTGTTTTATATTTTTATTATTGTTTTATATATTTATTATTTTATTGTTGCCCTTCTAAGTGACTTTACCGAAAAAAACAATAATATAATAAGACAGGTGTTAAGATGTTCAAACACGAAACTGAAACCTTTTTGCAAGGAATCATGTCTGCATTAACCACATATACTTGTGGTGAACATGAAAACAAACTAAAAAACATGCTCTGCCATTATGTGCATTGTCTTTGAAACTGATTGGTCCACACCAGAGACAGCTTTCTTTAGAGCCTAGTCTCAAACAGTGTTAGATCAGAGGACGCCAAAAGGCGAACAGCACAAAGGGGCTGTCCATAAATGACGTCACGCGAGTTTGGACGATTTTTGACCCTCCCCCCCCCGTCGTCACACGGCGTCACAAAAAGTTAGACCCCCCCTCAAATATGACGTCACAAAGCTCTGCCCCCCCCCCAAAATAAAAGATGCTTCAAATCGCTTTAAACTATTGTCATTGTAGTGCGCATTTAATGTGGCGCTGCACTCTGATGTTATAGTCTATTTTATTCAGTAGAACGTTTTGTCTATATTTATTTAAAGTTGATGTGACGTCACATGTCTCAAACCCCCCCCCCCCTCGTCACACATCGTCACAAATGTCTGACCCCCCCCCCAGATGCGTGACGTCATTTATGGACGGCCCCAAAGACAATGCACGAAGACAATGTTTTAACATCTTGCCAGAAAGGGGGTAAACACATATTCTTATATTAATAATAAGCGTCATTGCCCGAAACGTCGTGTCCATTCCTATTAGAACCACGATATCTCGCAACTCCTAATCGTTCTTTAACGCGGGGGGCGGGCGGAATGGGGGGGATGGGGGTGGGATGGGGGGTGAGGATGGGGGGGGGGTGGGATGGGGGTGGGGGAGATGAGGGGGGGGGATGGGGGGGGTGAGGGGGGGGGGATATGGGGGGGATGGAATGTGGGGGATGGGATGGGGGATGGGGGGGTGGGATGGGGGTGGGGGGGGTGAGGGGGGGGGGATATGGGTGGGATGGAATGGGGGGGATGGGGGGGGTGGGATGGGGGGGTGGGATGGGGGTGGGGGGGGTGAGGGGGGGGATATGGGGGGGATGGAATGGGGGGAGATGGGAGGGGGGATGGGGGGGGTGGGATGGGGGTGGGGGGGGATGGGGGTGGGGGGAATGCGGGGGGGGGATGGGGGGGATGGAATGGGGGGGGATGGGAGGGGGGGATGGGGGGTGGGATAGGGGTGGGGGGGATGAGGGGGGGATATGGGGGATGGCGGGGGGGTTTGAGATGGGGGATGGCGGGGGGGGGACGAGATAGGCGGGGGGGGGGGGCTGTTACAATGACGACGGCGCGCGTTCAATTTGGTAGTGCGGACAGGCGGCGGCGGCGGCGGCGGCGGAGCTTGCGTCACCCGCAGTGTGGGTGACGTTGTTGCCGGTGGGCTGACGCGTTGTGGACGTCCGCCCCGACGCGCAGCGTCTCCGGAACGGGGAGTCCAACAAGTTACGGAGTCCGCGAGCCGTGCGGCGACCGGGCGCGCTCTTTACTTGACCACATATTAGGCGCTCCACGCCACATGTATTTATTCATAGGCACGCGGTACGAGCGGCAGCGGCGTTGTTGTTGTTGCTGCGTTGCTTACCCATGTTGTTGCGTTTTAAGCTGTGCGCATGGATGATTTTAAAGGCTGTGGGGGGACCTCGATTGCGATCCGGAGCAGTCTTGTGTGCAACGTCCGCCGTAGCTTCTTGCTCGCCGCTGTAATCTCGCGTTAACTAAATAATAATAACAACAATCTTTCGTCGCGTTCGTCATGGACGCATCGGCAGGGTTCTAATAATATCGCGCGGGGCGGCGGGGTTTCAATGATCGTTCAGATCCAGACGTCGTCGCGCTGATCATCGCAATGATGTGAGCAGGAGGAAGAGCAAGAGGAAGCACTTCAAGCCTCCTTAAGACCAAACAGTAGATGCATTCTCGGAAGGGGGAGATCTTTTGTTGTTGTTGTTGTGGTGTTGTTGATCTGGTCCGTGCAACTGCGTGCACACAACACAACAGTGTAAGCGTCGAGGATTTTTTTTGTCTCCTCGGCGTTTATCCGAGATTAATCATTAATCACACCTCGATCATCCGAAGCATCGGCGAATAAGCAAGTGGCGTAGTGGTGTTAATCGGCAAGGACGTACAGGAATCAACATCCCCCCCTCTTGTTGTTGTTGTGGTGGTGGCGGGCGGGCAGCCCGTGACCATCAGGGGGCTCTGAATCTGGCAAGAGAGGACCCACGACGACTGTTCAGCCTGGTAAAGAGCACCAGGCAAAGAGGATTTAAAGGACGAAGAACTCCCTCCCTCCCCCCCACCCCGGGGTGTCAGGATCTGTGTGAAGAAGAGGGAGGAGGAGGAGGAGGTTAGGGGAGAGGGGTGGTGGAGCCGGGCATCTCTTACCGCTGCGGTAGAGCAGAGCCATCTGGCCATAGTGGCCATCTGGCCATTGTAGCCCCCCACATCTGTTTGGGGAGGAGCAGTTCGGCTCTGCCGGAGAGACCTGGGACTGTAGTGGGGGGGGGGGGGGGGGATGGGGATAGCTGCTGAGTACCACGGACTCGGATAGCATCGTGGTGAGAAGATAATCTTTGTGAAGAGGACAAAGGCCCGGGGAGAAGCCGCCATCCCCTGGCTACCGCCGTGGATTTGTGACCGTCTGGAACGTGCGGAGACGGACCCTGGAGCAAGACCAATCGTCCCCCCCCCCCCACACACAATCTCGTGGAGTGGCCGAGGACGCGGTAAGAGCCTCCTGGCCGTGTGCGGTCTGCATCCGGGTAGAGAATGTTGTGATGGTGTTGCTGCTGCTGTTGGAGGTGGTTGTGGTATAGCGGTGGTGTACGTGGTGTTGTTGGAGATGCCAATTCGTTGTGACTCGGGAGCCGACAGGTGAGGGTGGTGGTTGTTTTGTAGGTGGTGGTGGTTGTTTTGTAGGTGGTGGGTGTTGGTGGTTATCGTATCGGATGGTGCTGATGTTGGGGATGGAGGTGGTTGTTAAAGAGGTGATGGTGGTGCTGCTGCTAGAGTTGTGGGGTAAATATTAGCGCGCTGTGCCACGACTCCGGCCACACGAGTTCGATTCGACTATCTGAACCGGTCCTGAGCCTCCCCTTGGTCAACTCGGCCTCAGTGAATACCCTGGGGAGACAAAGGCGGCCGGGCGGGGCGCTGGACACCCACCCCCTCGTGTGCCGTGCCGGCCTTCATAGATGCTCGCTAACATCACTTACTCCAACAATCTGTTAAGGCTACACGGGGGAGGTGGGGGGGGGTCTTTGTTAAAGAAAGTGCATGTGTGTGTAGCCACGAACCCAGCGAGATCCTACTTTAATTCCCGCTCACGACCAACAAACCAGTGGCGAACAACTTTAACCGGCCCTGGGCCCCTCTCGTAGGTAATCTGGGTCTTGAATGAGTACCCCGTGCGATATGGAACAACAAAGGGGGCCTCGTGTGCTTGCTGGTCACCCATTCCCCTCGCGTTTGCCGTGCCGGCCTCCATAGATGCTCGCTAACGACACTTGCCCCTTATAGTCTGTTAAAGCTACGTGGGGATGGGCGGGGGGATCTTTGTTTTTAAAAGTTACAGGTGGCGTTTTTGGTGGTGGTATTGGAGGTGGTGGGCCCAGGATCCGGGCCGTGGTGCTGATGGACGGTGCTGTTGCTGTAAGTGGCGCGGTAGTGTTTTTCAGAGATTGTGGATGGTTGATGGTGGTTGCGGTTCTTCCCAGGATCGGACGGTTGCTGGTAGTGGAGTTCCTGGAGGAAGCGGTGTTAGAGGAAGTGGAGGTGGAGGAGGAGGAGCAGCAGCAGCAGACGACACAATGGCGGGCCTGCTGTGCCGTCTGCTTGCCGCCGCCTTGCTGAGCCCCGCCGCGTGGCCCGGCGCCTCCTCGGCCACCGACAAGGAAGAGTCGTGGTACACGGCCTTTGTGAACATCTCCTACGTGGAACCCGACAGCCGGGAGCCACGCTCGGAGCGCACAGAGTGCGGCCGCTACGGGGACGACTCTCCCAAGGTGGAGGCCAGGGGCATCTTGCTGGCCCCCACGGGAGACCGCTCGGCCTGCGACCCGGCCACCACCCGCTTCAATGTCCCGGTGCTCCCGCCGTCATCGGCTCAGCAGCTGCAGCAGCAGCAGCAGCAGAACCATGGACCAGGGCAACGGCTGCGGGCAGGTAGCGGTGGTGGTTCTAAGGCTGCCCCTGTGCCATGGGTGGCACTGATCTCCAAAGAGAACTGTTCGGTGCGGGACAAGATTCTGCGCGCCATGGCGTACAACGCCTCAGCTGTGGTGATTGCCAACGGGCCCGGCACGGGAAACGAGACCACGGCCATGCACCACAAAGGTAGAGTCGGTGCTTCTCTAAATATGTCCACAGGCAAGGGAAGGTGGTGGCGGCGGTGAGGATAGTGGCAGATACGGCTTCGGCGAGTCGCTTTACTGTAGTGGATGGGCAGGTATCTCTTTGGTGGGCAGATCTCGGTTTGGTGGGCAAGTATGGGTTGGGCAATATGGCATGGGTTGTGTGAGCAATTGCACTCGAGTGTGTGGGTAGGTATGGGTTGAGTCACTCAATGGGCAAGTATGGGTGGGGTGGGTGTGTGTTGAATAAACAGGATTGGGTTGAGTAAGAATGTTTGAGGTGTGTGCAGTTATGAATTAGGTGAGCAAGTACTGTACTCAATTCGTTGGATGAGCAGGTATGGGTTTGGTGAGAAGTTGGACTGTAGTGGGTGAGCAGGATGGTGACGTTGGAAAATAGTCAGGTTTGATTGTGATAATTATAAATCCATTTCGTACCACGTGAAAAATTTGTGCAGCCAGTCGCGAAGAAAAGTCAGGGGTGAGCTTGTACACAGGTATGCAATAATATAGTGGGTGGGTAGACATTCCTTGGATGGGCGGTGTTAGCAGAGTATGGTATTGGTTTAAAAGGTAAGTACGAATTGGATGGGCAACCTAAGAAGGTGTGATAGTTGGGTAGCCAAATATGGGCAAGTATGGATGGGGAGACAATCAGGCTGGCACGGTGGGTTAGTAGGTGTGTTTTGTGTGGATGGTATATGTTCAGTTAGTATGTCTGGGCAGGTTTTGATTGCTGCGGAATACATGTTAATAAAGGTTAGACGGTTGGAAGTCACGATGGTTCAGGGATGGCCTGAGGTTTGTTCTGGGACTGGCATCTCAATTATTTTTACAATTGTAATATAGCAAGAAAGACGTTTTATTTATTTAGTTTTTGCCTGTTTATATTTCCATGACCATCCTAAATATGATGTGCTGGGTAAATAGCCCTTGGGCTCCCAACACTCGGTTTTTGTCTCAGTGCACATGTAGCAGATGCCCACTGATTAGCACCGGCGTCACCACCACCGTTATTTCAGACGCATTGCAAGCATTTATTAATATTATTATACAGACACTGTTGTTACCGCTCATCTAGTGCCTAGGCTGAACACACGCGCAGCCCAAGTCACGTGAAGGACAGAATAACTTCAGCCCCGGCGCACGTCAGAGCTTTTTAGTACTTGCGTCAAAGAAAAACCTCAGTGAGGTGGTGTGTTTGGGGAATGAGTTTGATGCAACTGGATAGGATGCTAGGGGCCCAACTGCGTTGTTTTTTTCCCCTTCAAAAGTACTGTCTCTCCTACTTGATACTCGGTCAAATTCTAAATGATTTACCAGGTTGTACAGCCTATTTCATTGCCAGGGCTTGTTCATAACAAAAACAGGTTTTGCCTCGAAGCAATGCAAACCTGTTTATTATTTGCCATGTATGTTTGTAATATTGTTATGAGTGCAGGACGACTTATACGTATTATTTTAGCCAGCAGTGTAGCCGTAGGAACAAGAGTTTCTCTCTTGCCAGTGGCATGTGCATTATTTTTGTGCACTCAACTTTTACATCCAAATAATTAACCATAATTTGTTTAAAATCCCCGTTCGTAGTGGAGGCAGTGCCACTACTTTCAACATCCAGCACCAGTTGCACAATGCTGTTGTCGGCTCCACAATCTTCCCAAACTCCCTATGACACAATTTAGTTTTGGCAAGAAGCCAAACGTTATAGGTAAGAGAGTTATGGGATGCAAGGTACAACATTGATGCAGTGCCACCTTTAATTAAAATACGTGTGTGAAAAATTATTATATGATTTTTATCTACAGGACAGCCAGTCCAGTACATGGGTTGTCTTTTCATTGAAGTCCATTACGATGTTGATATCGAAGGTAATGTATTCTGAGAGTCATAGCTCTATTGATGCTTGTCGCTGGTGGGTGGAGCTTTGCCTTGAAAGGTTTTGGGTTTCTTTCTTGTTATTTTGATTTCTTAAATCTTTAGAGCCGCTGGAAGCACCGCAATTCATTTCAGTGATCTTCAATCTTGGGATTTGGCACCGAGTTGCTGACAGGTTAAATCAAATAAAGCTCAGACGCTTGTCCTGAGACCTTGATGAACATAAGGTAGCGTGACCCACGTTTATATCCAGTAGAGTAAAATGGGCCATACATGTTTACATTGTCAAGAATGGAGATCAAAATCATTTTGTTAACAGCAGGATTTTTTTTTTAAATCGAAGCCTTTTAAAATAACACTTTTTCGTATGGACAATGTTGCTGTACATGCAGCTGCTGTCCATACGAGTCAGCCATGTGCATGCGATGGTCAATTTGAATTGTAATGGAAAACTCTTAAATTACACAATTTACTCCTGCTCATCCAGTCGTGTGCTTGTCTTACCAATGAGTCGAGTTGCAGACATGCTCTTTTCACAAATGCATTGGATACAGCCGGCGCTGGTGCACATAAACGTACATTGTTCTCGCATCTGTCCATAGAATGCACCAGTCAGCAAATGTGCGTGCCAAAAAATGGGCCTTCAGTTCAACCTCGAACTCTTTCTGCTGTTTGCTTTGGGCATTCCATGCTGTGGGGATGGTAATGATGGACTCTGTTGGTCTCTGGTATATATTATTGATTTTCTGTGGATTGAGGAGTGTATGGAATGCTGCTTAATGTCAAGCCAATTTAGTTTGTGGACTTCAGCATTGTGCTTGTTACAGAATAAATTAATCTTAAAGTAAAACAAATTTGGTTAAACGCCGTATTGAGACCAAACATCAAACATGGAGGTGACCGGGTTGCTGACAAATCCGAGCACTGAGCTGGCATTGCTGAGATCCTCGATTAAAATCCAGGCATTTGCCTGTGATTAAACCAGGTTCGCAACTGTAGTAGTGATGTGATGGCCTCGGCCCGGTTACCAATAATTGCACAAAAACCCCATGGCATGAGCTTTTGTTTTGCACTTAATTTATTGCAAAACTCTAGCCCTGGGATTTCCAAATATCACTTTTACTTTAATGCAATGAACGTTGTTCTCAGTGGCAGAGTGACTGGAAAAGGTGTGTGGATCCAGATGTGCCTTGAAGGGATTTCAGAGGTAACTCTATGATGTCCGCTTCTGTGCCTTGGGCCAGTCTCAAACATGAAGGGTTGCAATGCTTTGCAAGGGATCCGAAAATTGAATCATCATCTCTTGACATGATGTTCATAGCACAATCTCCTGGGAGGGGAGGGGGGACACAAAAACACAATAAAAAATAGATCGCCAAGCCTTCTCTCAGCAGTTTGGCCAACACAACTGAGCATGGCCCCATCATTGTAGAGGGAAAAATAATTTTAAAAAAACAAATGCCATGTAAATTTTAAAATGTATGTTCGTTGGTTGAACACTGACCAGCAGTTGATTGGAACGTACGTGAAAAGTACCCCCAGCTGCGAGTCTTTTAAGAAGAATTACAAAAAAAATCCAGCAAGTGATTTTAGCATACTTTCAGATTTTTCTCCCTCACTCAACAAGCTCACCGATTTCAAAGTGCATCGACCACATGGCTACAACATGGCATTGTCGTAGGGTACGCATGGCATGCTTCCATGTGTTATACCCAATTCAGTTCTTGCATGCAAACGTGTGCAAGGGAACAATTGCTTTACATGGAGTTTGATGTAAAAGAAGGATTTATTTAGCTTTAAGCAGGCACGTGGCACCAACCTTAGACTGATTGGTGCAGTATTTGTAATTACCCATTTAAAAAAAACATTTGAGTGATGCCTCTCAGGCAGATGTATGCTATCTTTTGTTTAAATGTTATTTTTCTGTAAATGATAAGAAAGCCATGGGACGTGTTTGCCAGTATCAATATATGAAAAATAAGAATAGGTTTTACCCTTCCTGCCAGTAAAACGTGTGTTAAGATTTTGCAATACCAAATAGATACATTTTTCAAGGAATCAAGACTGCATCAACCACACGTACTTGGGGTGAACATGCAAACAAACATGCTCTGATAATATATGGCATTGTCTTTGAAACGTATTGGCCTACACAAGAGACAGCCGTCTTTCTGGCCTAATCTCACCAGTGTCAGACCAGAGAATGCCAATAGACGAACAGTTTGGTGTTTGAACATCTTAACATCTGTTTATTGCTATAAAGGCTAAAACCTATTTTTATTTTTCATAACAAGAGACCCATCAGGTCTAAAACAAGGCTGTGTGCATTATACACGAAGTATGGCGATGGCACGTGACATGCCAGGCGTGATGCGAGAACCAATTTAATGGTCACAATCACTCCTTTTGATGACTTTTGTGTAAACATAATTATTGCTAATGTTTTGCATTCAGGTGACTGCAGTGTGCCCCCTTCTTTCCTACAGCATGTGAACCAACAGCAGCAGCAGCAAGCTATAATTCCGTGTTGTGGCTCAAATGGCTTGGGGTGTTGCAGAATGTATTTTGGCTGCACAGGCGTCCAGTGGGCGATTGTTCACAGTGCGGGTTGACAGTCTGGACTTCACCCCACAGTCACAGTTAAGGGAATCTCTTGTTTGTATTTTTTTTATGAAGGATGTAACCATAACATTTGTTCGTGTATATGCAGTGCATAAAATGATAGTGTGTGCAGGCTTGCGATTTTCCTGCTCAGGAGGGTAATCTGGCCTACCCTTTTTATTGTGTGATTTTATTTTATTGATTTGTTATTTTATTCTCATTCTACGTGACTTTTTCCCGAAAGAACCAACGAAGACTGGCCTACCCTTTCATGCCAGCCAGATGTCTTGGAGGAGGTGGGAGTACCCACACTTTACCCCACCACTCGCGACCTGCTGATCAACCGTGGTGTTGTAGTCATTTACAGTATACTGATGGGTGGACAATGACGGGGGAGTTTTAATAAACGTACCAATTGTATCTAACATACATTTACGTACGTGTATACAAATGCTCTCTTTGTGTGGCTCGGCAAACATTTCTTCACATGTCAGTGAAACGCGTTCTCAAGCATCTCCTTCGTTTTATTGGCCTGTTCAATTCTGACTGCAAGTCCTCACCTTGAGAGTTTAAAAGTGTCCACACACAACCATCGTGGTGGCCAAAACACCCTTGTGCAGGCTGGCTCTTTTAATTAACAGAAATTGTGTATACTACCAAAATTTTCACTGTAAAATCTGTCAGTAGCCATCTCATGGCAGGACAGAGAACTGAGATGGGGTACACCGCCGCTTACTGTATCATTCCGCTTACTGCATCATTCCGCGTACTGCATCATTCCGCGTACTGTATCTAACCGCTCGGCCGCACAGCTCAAGTAAGTAAATCGTTGACCGCTCACAAACCGCATTATAGCGGTGCATTCCGTGTTATAACGGGCGCGTTCCGCGTTGTACAAAAAGTGTTCCCACATAGACGAACCGTGTTATCGTGAAAACGCGTTAAGCGAGGACTTGCTGTGCTTGCACCGTGTGGCTGAGTGGTATGATACACTACGCGGAATGATAGTACTCGGTGGCGTACTCTCATCTGAGTTCTTTGTCTCACCATCTTACCGTACCTACATACAGGAATACCTTACACTTTCGTCTGGTTAGGGACCCAGAGCATGGACGAATGTCAAAGCAGAGCCTTTATTTAGCTTGCAAATTTATTTTGGCCGCGAAAAACGTACATGGAAATAACTAAAGTAAATAATAAAACGTACATTCAAACGGGTTATTTTAGCTTTACAATCACCACACTTAAAACCCATTATGAATATATTAAAGCACAAACATAACTATTTTACAGTAATCACAAAAAAAGCACAGTATGAATACTGTACGCGTGTTTTATAATCACGAAAATAACTATGAACACGGTAGTAGTATACCGTCATCACAAAAATAACTATGACTTGTTTACAGGACAATCAAAGAAATAAGTAAGAGTATTAATACTATATGAATAAACACAAATGTAATAGATGCTCGCTGAACGACTTCTACTCGGAAACCGAACGAAAAAGACGGCGCGTGACGTGAACGTCGTGGAAGGTTTGGGGACGAAATCGCACGAAAGAGGAAAGCCGCGTGGACGAAATTTGAAATGTGGTTAGAATTGAAAAAGGCCGAAATAGCGAAATGACAGAAGTCAAGTGGACGAAGGTCAAGGTATCACTGTACAGCGTATCTTGCCTTCTTATGGAAAAAATATTTTCGCTGAGTGCAGCACTTCAGGAACGCGTGTACCACGTTCAACGAGGAATTGCTACGTGTTTTATTTACAGCACAAGAGATGTGAAGATACATGCTGCTGTGCCTGGTCTCAAGTGGTGAAAGCGGAGCCGTGTTTTATTACATGGTGACACCACGACAGGACGTTGGTGGTGTGATGTTGTACGTACTTCTTACTGTTGACAAGTCATACTTTGCTTGTTGCCCCATCCTGCCGGAGCGAGTAAGATCATTTTCGTGTGACCCCAAAGTCATCCTTAGGGAGACGCTCGCTCCAATTTACAATAATCTCGTGCAGGTATTTGAAGATGAAACAGGTGATTTTGCCCTCAGCATTTCCACGATTTCAAATGTGCACTTCTGGTGGCATAGTCATCTCATCATCGTGGCCTTAACATTTAAAGTATAGAGTGAATAACATGTATTACTTTGCTTTTCGGTCTAGCACTTTCGTGCACTCGATGTCAAGTACAGAAAGAAGACGGGAGCTCTGAAAATAATCCCATTGTGAAAATGATGTGACCTTTCTGTGCAGTCATGCTCAACACATTTCACAACCCATCACACTGTGCAAAACATCAGTGACTTTGCAGGTTTTCCACAAAAGCATCGATATGGTGGGTGGAGGTGGGCTGCTGAAACCAGCAACTGGTCCCCCAGATTGGCCGTGCCACCAACAACACATCCCTCCTCATTTCGTCTGCAGACACGGGCGAAATCGTGGTCATCATGGTCACGGAACTCAAGGGGAGAGAGATGATGTCTCTGCTCGAGCGAAACATCACGGTCATGGTGCACGTCACGGTGGGCACGCGCAACGTGCAGAAGTTCGTCAGCCGGACGTCGGTGGTGTTCGTCTCCATCTCGTTCATCGTGCTCATGATCATCTCGTTGGCGTGGCTCGTCTTCTACTATGTCCAGAGGCTACGCTATGCCAGCGCGCGCGACCGCCACCAGGTGCGCTCCAACGTCACCCTCGATGCGACACCCAACACGGTTTGGCGACGCGCGATTAAACTAAAACTATTTTTTGTATTTTACCAGGCAAGGCTCAACTGAGCTATATAGCTCTTTTTCGGAAAGCGACCTGGTTATCGCAAATGATAGCTCGACGAAGCGGCTTATCGTATGGAAATTTAAAGGAACACATTCGCCCCAAACGCCGGAACGGGCGGGGCAAAAATATTGTTTGTTATCCTCGACCATTTGCATTGTTTTGTGATTTTTTTTGTTTTAAAACCGTTTGGATTCAAAGGAAACCTGCACTGGCTGGGCTTGTCTCATTAGACGCTACAACATTGTTACGCTTGCCAGATTTCCAAGCGCGTGTTTATTTTATTGGCTGCTGCTCGTGAATGGTTTCTTCATTCATGGCATGGGCACGGATATAAAGTGGGGGGGGGGGGGGGCGACAAGAACACCGAAAGATTTGACTGCGGCGACCACCCCTTTGCTAAAAGCGTCACGGTCGAGGTTTTCGTCACATTTCGAAGACTTTTTGCTGCACCAAAAATACATGTTTTTTATAGCTGAACACGTCATTGTTTCATGGCCTACTCGTACATTTGTGTGTAATTACCCTTCCATTCAAAGCCAACTGTCGTAAAGTTGGAATGAAAATATTTTTAGTAGTCTAGAGTTTCTCAAGAGCTTGAAATTTAACACAAAACTGAAATCTCCCCCCAAAAATGAACACCTGGGTGTTAATATTCTGGTGGTGCAGTGTACTCACAGTGCTGTGTATACAGACAGATGCATATATTTATTTATATGTGGTACCCGACGTGTAATCCCTGGTACTTACAATAGGCAGCTTATGCGAATCTCGCCGAGCAGACCACGTGGAATCTCGGGGAACAGGGGTTTCTCAATGGGTCATAAATAGTGACATCAATGGTGACTCCTATGCCACTCGAATGTGTAGGGTTGTGTCTGCAGACAGAATTTTTAACCTCTTGCGATCTTAGACTGTGCCAGCGTGTGGGTCGAGATGTGCCTCAAAGGACCGCATTTGTCTGTGCGTCGCAGAATTGGGGGCACGTTGGACACAGGCCGTCTCTAGCCAACAGTCTGCCCCTTTGGGTTACAGTTAACTTTGGCGGGTATGCAGGGCAGCATATATTAATGGCTGAAGCGCCAAATTGATCCTTGAACACGTTGGCAAGTTTGTGCGTTTTTGCTCTCGTTTCTAATGGATGGACGTCCAAGAAAAAAACCTGAATTTAAAATGCACAGCAACAGTGCACATTTGCTGCCGGAAGTGTTTCATATGTGACCTGTGAATGGGTGCTTCGTTTGTTCACAAGGCTGGTGAGTGTTTTTTGTTTGTTTAATTTGTGTGTTGTGTCCATGCAATTGTACAGAGGAGACTGGGAGATGCTGCCAAGAAGGCAATGACTAAACTTCCACTGAAAACCATCAAGAAAGGGGATCAGGCAAGCATTCAGCAACAGATTTGGTGTTGTACCATAAGTGCATGAAAAAATCAATACAGGGTGCTTCAAAAAAATTGTTAACGCTTACATGGGAAAAATCGGATAACACGCCGTAACATGACAACAAATGTATGTTAAGAGCTTCAAAAAGTAAGTCTCCACTTGATCGCCATCATTGTCAACACACGCCTGGAATCTTCTCCAAGTGGTCTCCAGAACCCGGAGGCACATTTCTTGCAGTATTGTTGCAAATTCTCGGAAGTGTCAACATTTTTTTGAAGCACCAGGTATATAATTCAGCACGTCTTATTTATAAATCGCAAAGCATGCCTGTATAATGTACTACTGGGCCCAAAGAAGCATTTGGCCATTAAAACACTGAGATGTTGTGTACAATCAACATCACTTAATACGATATCCAAATGCATGAGTTGTACATTTCCAGCAGGATATTATTAAAGCAGTCTCTTTGTTAGTGTTCAATGTGTTTTAAAGATGACCTTTTTTCATTAGCCTACCACTGCTGCTGCAGCTATTTATTTATAACTCCCCTGCCATTAAAATCGGCAAGCCAAGGGAACCTGCCCCAGCAGGGTATGGTCCTTGTGAAATATCGGGAAACACAACTCTGTCTTAACAATTTGACTGGCATTAACAGTGTTGGAGAAAAGAAAAAAAAACTCAAGCCTGCTGAAATGCCATCTGTAGGATGAGCCGCTATTAATCTGTGCGCGTCAAGAATGCTGTCCTCGCACACGGCAATCAAACTGAGAGCCGCTGTCTAATCCTTTATGCTTTCGGAGCAAAGGCCTTTGTGGGCTTTTCACATGTAGAATTGTCCCAAAATATTTAAGTTATTTTTATTTTGTCTTCCCCCTGACTGCCTCGAAACTGACTGTAGGAAACGGAACCTGACTTCGACAACTGTGCAGTTTGCATTGAAGGTTACAAGCCCAACGATGTAGTACGGATATTACCTTGCAAGTAAGTTTACACACTGACTCCACACAGTCGGGTAACCCCAGTGTTTCCTGGAAAATATTCACAATGCTCCAACTGTGGCCCAATATACATGTATAAACATGTTTAAAATAATGGATAGTTTTGTTCTTGGCCACGGCTAGCATCAGTGACGAGTAGTATCTGTCTGGTAGGACAGCGCTGTCCTACCAGACAGTCTCGCCCCTTCACCTGATGAAGGCCGCTTGTGTTGTGGCCGAAACGTCGTGAGAATATTATTGTGTTATTTTATTTTATCAATTTATTATTTTATTCTCATTCTACGTGACTTTTCCCGAAAGAACCAAAGAAGAGTAGTATCTGGATTAGTCCCGGGCTCTCCACTAAACCCAACCTTTACTGACCGGCCTGGTGAAGTATGATTAAGCAACTGCCTTCACTAATACAGCATGGGGAGTAGGCCAATGATTGGTAAATTGTTCTAATAATTTCCTTGGTAATGTGTGCAGTTTTCATTTGTTACTTTATTTCAAGCCCGAACAGAATACGTTCACATTCCTATAGATATGTGCCAAGGTTCGATGTTCCAGGCAACGTGGCTCAGCCTGTTTGAAGTTTTGCTAATGAGAAGATGTCACATTCAAGAATGTCATTGACACTGGTGACCTCACACCAATACGTTTTAATACGTCAATGCAATGATGTCTCCAGAGCACCACAAACTGAGCAGCTGACCTTGGTTTTAAAGTTTTTGTCATTAACATCGCATTACTCTCACGTCAGTGCCTGGAGCAAACATCCTTGGTGCGAATCTACCAAGAGATATTTTTTAGGTTGTCTTCTTTGAATACTGAACAATGTAATTATATTATGAACCCAATAAGATAAAAATATACACAGAATGGATAAGTGGTGCAATAATTTTTCCACTCAGTGGTAAGCGCACAGTGCTATGAACCCGGCCACTGCTAACATCAGTGGCGAGTGATATCTGAACCGGTCCCATAGCCTACCGTTCACAAAGCCGCACTGACAAGGGTGGTGAAGTATGGTCAAACAACACCCCTATCACCAAAAGGCCCGGGGAGGTCGTCAGTGATGTCTAAACCAGTTCAGGGTCCCCGCTATGACCCTAACCCGCACTGACCAGCGTCGCCCAGTGTGATCAAACCAAACCGCACAACCAACGTGGCATGGGGGACGGCCTTCATCCACAAGTGGATTGATGAAGATCTGCAAGTGATTTTGTTTGAAGCTGGACGGCACTGACCTCTCGCCTCCCCCACACCCGCCTCCCTTCCACATGTGCCTCGCTGCTAGACACCTGTTCCACAAAGCGTGCGTGGACCCCTGGCTGCTGGACCATCGCACGTGCCCCATGTGCAAACTCAACATCCTCAAGGCTCTGGGCTTCCCCGTGAGTGCCTTTCCCCCTTTGTCCACCGACATTCGCAGCATTGATAACAAGTCGAGTGTCTCTGCTCAAATAAACAAGGAGCTCGCCAAATGATTCTGTTAAATTAACAAGAGACCCTGGCCAGAATTCCACATTCCTGTGTGTGTAGCACTACTACTGTTGACTTACCACAAAGTGGTGCTCATACCTACTATAATCACCTAGGAATGTCTTCAACGCTCGTGACGTCACTCCACATCGACCAGCCCCCTTCATTAATATTCATGAGCAGGTGACATCCTCCAAATGGACACCCCCTGCCATTATTATTACCTACTATGAGTCAAGAATGTCTGTGTAATGCTCATGACGTCACACCAACCAGCCCCTCTCATTAATAATCATGAGCAGGTGACGTCACTCCACATGGAGCACCCTCCCCCCTCATTAATAATCATAAGGTGACATCCTCCAAATGGACAACCGCCCCCCCTCCATTCATAATAATTAGTGGCTGACGTCACTCCACACGGGGGGCCGAGGCGCCTCCTCCCCCCTAGGCGTTAAATTACAACCCTCACGTCACGCGATCTCCGTAACGCTATTGAGACATCAAAGTAAAAAGGACGTCAGGATGAACAAAGGATTATAACCTTTAAATGAAGTAAGTCTGTGTCACCGCGGCATTACAAATTGCACACGAATGGATGCAATGGATATCACGTCGCGGTCTGCTTTTCGCTTGCAAGTTTCAAATTTACTGCAATACACCCGTCCTTGGACGGGCAAAAGGCTAGTTTAATACAATCATTGATAGGAGTGTAGCATATTATCATAAATGGGTGTGGTGTGGGGGGAAACCGCTGTTGCATCATGATCAGTGCACTTTGCTATGAACCCAACGACCTGACTTCAGTTCCCCGATGCAACCCACATTGACCAGCGTGGTGATGCATGGTCACGCAACAGTCCGCAGCCGAAAGGCACCGGGAGGCCTTCATCCGGCAGTGGATTGACAAACGGCTAAATGTTATTATTGAAGTTGAACAATGCATTCATCGATTCATATCAGAATATGTATTTATAGTGAAGGAATCCAATGAGCTACAAGGTTATTTTTCACAGATGTCCATATCGATGAATGCATCGCATGGCATGTGAGAATTTAATCCGTGTGTTGTAATTTATGTTGACATTGGAAACCCTTGCTGAGTTTCCAGATTATTTTAGCAGGCTTCCGCGTTCATGATGTTTGGTAATTTAAATTCTAGTATTGTTGGTTTTTCCCAAACACATGCTGCATTTTTAATAACGGAAAATATACGCTCCATTGCAAATACCATCAAACTTGATTCAAGTTGGAATGGAATCAGCTGGAGGTAAATTGGTTTCAAAATATTACGTTAAACGTATCGCAAATAAATGACTTGGATGGGCATCAAGGCATGGCAGCACCAGTTGCCTTTCAAGTTGGCTTAAATTTCGAGCTCAAGACGACTCCATGCTGCCGGTCGACTGATCACCAGTTTCTGCTGTGCTTTCAAATTTGCCAGATACCTCTGTGTCCCATATTACCCCCCATGGAAAACAACACTCCACCCTGTATCAGTTGACTCCTTATGAATAAATGATTCATTCATTCACCCGCTCATGAAAATAAAAAAATTACCTTAACAACCCCCCCCTCCCTCTGCTTCACAGACGAGTCCTGAGCCGGGGGAGGAGCTCCCTCCGCCGGCAGTGGGTGTGTCCGCCATGGCGGCGCTGGCAAATCGCAACGCGCACGAGGGCGGGGCGGCGGGCGGCGGGGCGATGGCGGGCATCGGCAGGGTGCACGGTGGTTACGTCGGCCGAGGGATCGGCGGCGGAGGAAGCGGCGCCGGCTCGGGCAGCGACAGCAGCCTCAACCTGGAGCCGCCGCAATACGAAGAGGTGGTGCAGGTGGCGCACGTGGAGCCCACGACGCCCTCCACGCCGCACAGCGACGCCGACATCGACTTCCATGGCGAGTTCTCGACGACGTGGTCGTCGTCCGTTGGCCTCATGTCGTCATCGATTCCGTGCGTTCTGAAAGTGGCACCGCGTTCGGTGGCGTCCGTCGGGCAGATCGCGTCTCCCGTAACCCGCAGCACCTCTCGGGTGTCCATCTGATGAACACCCCACGTGCTCTGCTTTACAATAGCCTTGACTGAATCAACTGCGCCATTTCCTGCGGCAAAAAATATTCTATCGTGGTGAAAGCGAATAAAAGTATTTTGGCTTTGCGATGTCATGTGATGGCTTTACATGGTGTTACGTAATTCCTATTCCACTGTGCTTACATATATTATGTACGCCTGCAGTGCCAGAGGATATAAATAACATTAATTTATGGTTGTCGGTAGAGAGAGGCCGGTTTCCCTGTAGGAAACATTGCTTCTCTTGATGTTACAGTGAGGAATATCTTATTTGCAGCGTAAAGACATGTTCTATGCGGGAAAATCACTGCATGACCAAACAAAGGACAAGTGGAGTTCATCGGTAGTACAAACCCCTCACATGCTGCTCTTGCAGCAATTTGTAATGATTTTTTAACAAACATAACTTGTGTGATTGGTGATAAATGACATCACTAACTGGCGCTATTTGCTTTTCTCCATTAGACAATTTTTTCGACGAGACTTTTTATTCTACCAAGTAAGACCCACTGAGCTATAGAGCTCTTTTTCAGACGTGACCTGGCCACAAATAACAGCTCAACGAAGTGGCTTATCACGTGGACATTTATAGCAGCCAAATACTCCAAACGCATGTTTCTAAATGTGGAGGGAAAAACTGGAGGACCCAGAGAAAAATCCACGTGACCAGGGAGAGACCATGTAGACTCCAAATATACAGGTGTCAGGGTCCGTATCAAACCCATGACCTCTGACATATCAGGCAAGGGAGTTAAACATGTCGCCACCGCGTCGCCTCCATTCAATTAACCGTGGATTTCCATTTCCGAACAGCACTGTTGAAACCTTGTGATCCACAGACGACGAAGAACGCCTGGTGAGAGACCGGAGCTCGTCTCAGCCCATCACGGTGGAGATCAGACTGTCTGACATCGACCTCGCCGACCAAAGCCCTCGCGGGCAAGAAATCCTCTCGTGACCGCGACGTCGTGCGAGAATTGGGAGCACTGGGTTCCACTTTTCTTTTTGGGTTGTGGTTTTGTTTCGGTTTTTTTTATTTTGATGGCAATGTTAGCACAAGATGGCTGCCACATCTTGATGTACAAAAAATCCCAGGCTGAGGCCGTTTACATGCCTGAAAATCGCGCCTCTGAAATTGTGAACTGCTTCTTTGCTTGTAGAGAGCTACGTATGACTTGTAAATGTAAATTATTGCCGTCGAAATGACGTTGCTGTTTTTATAACTGTGGTACACATGCCGTAGTTAATGTGCTGAGCCAACAGGTCTATGATTCATGCTTAAATATTGCTGTTACCTAGAGATTTTATTGTTTCTATGGTTGAGGTTTGGAGGTTTAAAACGTTTTATTTTATGTGCATTAAACACTTTATTTGGATGGGTAATGCTAAGCTTGTCTCCAGCCAAAAAAATCTCTACTTCTTTGTGAAATATTTGACTGTGAGTGCATTTACACAACTTTTGTTACATTTTATTGGGAATCTAAATAAAATGTTTATGCCCGATCCTTGCCGCTGTCATCACTGTTAAGTATGCTGAGCTTGCACGGTATAATGTAAGAGAACACGCAGAACAAAATGTACAACTTTTTTGTTATTTTCATTTCACCGAGTCAGGTAAAGGCCACTTGTTCAAACATGTATTAGTGGCATTGCCCCAGAATACAGTAAAAGAAAAAAATCGCACGCAAAGGTACAATGCTCATTAACCACATACATTTTTTATGAAAAGCAGGCTTTTTTTTAAACACTCCTAAACAATTTTTCTTTGTAATTGCTAAAAAAAATATATATATAGATTCCCAAGACACTGCGCTTTGGGTTGTTGGACCAATTCTTGAACTGCTGTAGCTCAAGCAAGGCTTTGGGCTGCCAGGATAAACCCCCACACTTGCAAGGGGATATCACTCAAAACTATGGGGAGAGATCAGTAAGACTTGTAATTGTAAATTATTGAGAACATTGTTATTTAATTACGGTCTACATGCCATGTTGTGTACTAATGACCAGACAGAAATGTTTTTTTTTACAATAAACACTAATTATAAAATGTTAGACGTCCAATAGTTTGTATGCAAATTTTTAAAAATATTTAGTGCAACAATGATCTTAAAATGGCCTCAGTCTACTCTACAGATTTAAAACATCTCTAGCAAAAATACCTCGTATGAACATCTTATCCAGATTTTTAAAAAATATATACTATGCATTTAAGAATGTGTTTAATGTAAATTCATACCATTTATTTTACAATATAACTTACATAACTGTCCTGAAATAACCTCAGCCCCTGCAGTCATTATATATACATTACAAAAAGTATAAAAATAGATTTAAAAAATTTATACCCATTTTCCCTTTACCAAAAAAGCATATAAAGCTTTTTTTTACATTTGCTTTACAAGTACATTGCAGTTCGTGAGTCATCGTTATTCGGTAGATTTAAAAGTAATGTCTTCCGGATATAAATTAAGGAACCATTACACAAATTGTTATTAAATTTGAATAGTCTGATTTATGAGCTTGGTGTATGGTTAACGTAGTAGTTAATTATGAGCTTTTTCCTTTCAATATTTTTTTTCTTTGCAGGACAAAAAAACTATGAAATAACACCAGCAAGTGAATACCAATGATGCCAGTGCACTCAAAAGAGCGTCGCGCTACATGCCATCAAACCTCTCGCGCGCGTGGCAAATGAACCTTGACCAGTCCCGCATGAGGCTCTGAAAACCTGCCAAGAGAGAGAGAGGTCACGCTGGCAACAATTCAACATTGGATACTTTATTAGGCATGGAACGATTCACCACAAGCCCACACCATATCACCACTTTGATTCAATGCATTCAAATCAAGAATGTATTCTACCTTCAAATGAATGCGTTATATTTGCTTTGTCCCATATAGAGTGTCTCGTTTGTATCGTGTCCCCATGTTTTGTCTTGTTATCCTTATAAAGGACTGTTAGCATGCGATTTGCATGCATTATAAATGATGTATTGTTAAACACTTTTATTCTTGTATCACACGAGCATAAGTCAATTTTAGTCAATTATTACATGCCTGCAATTATTTTTCACTGGTAAACAGCTCAAACATTTCAGGTGCAACATTAACTAATATAATGCAAATTTTCCACTATCATTTAAAATTTTAACATCCATGACCCCAGCTTAAAAATTGAGTGCCAATGAAGTCAACAATTTATACAGTGAATAGGCATGTGCCATCATCATCACTATCAGCCATGATCAATCGACTGTCGTATTAAGGTCTCCCCAAGTATAATTACTTCTTCATTTTCTTAGTTTTTTCGGTAAAGTCACGTTGAAGAGAAACAACAAAATAATAAAATATATATAAAACAATAAAAAATTCTCACGACGTTTCGACCATAACTCAAACGTCTTCACCTGAAGACGACCGTTTGAGTTATGGTCGAAACGTCGTGATAATTTTTTATTGTTATATATATATTTTATTATTTTGTTGTTTCTCTTCAACGTGACTTTACCGAAAAAACTAAGAATATGAATTACTGCAGTCACGAAAGCTTTAAATCAAAACTTCTTCATTTGTTGCCAAAACCCCTCCCGAGTATTTTTTCAGAAGGATCTTTCTTATAGCGTGTGGCTTTCCATATAAAGTCTCTGAAGGTGACCAGAATGCCCAAAGATAATTCACTGATACGAGAGGACAAACATTCAACATCTGCACACAGGTCAAAAAAACTACTTGCTGTACAAGTCTTCCACTGGCAGCCAAGTCATCCCTTGGGGTCCCGGTCAACAGCAAAATATATGGACGTGGCGGCTTGTGAAGCAATTCTAAAATGCTTTACCGTTGACTGTATTACGCAAGCACTTCAAAGGGTCCAGTCGGCGTATTGCAACCACCTGCCTCCGCTGGTACAGAGCTCTGCTTTAAGCTTCAATAGCATAGCTGTGCGATCAAACCATAACTCATGACAGCACTTCAATTGTCGCTTTCTTTTCAAGCAAGTGCCAAAACGACACTTGACACAGAGGATCCGATACCACTGCTGACCATTTGTCGATTTGGTAAGTACGGCAGTTGACGTTCCGAATAGCGAGTGGTTAAGTTCAGCTCAAGGTTTGAGATAAAACAAAAGACCGTAGTGGATAAATAATAAGGGGATTTTGTATACAAGTGTTCAAAAAAATGTCAGGCCTAGCAACCCTCAAAGGCAAGCCTTTCCACATTTTACCAATATATTCCACTGATATGCAATTTAAATTAATCCATCACATATTGCACACACCCAATGACTTGTAATCATGAAAAGCTGCACCATGGGAGGGGTACCAAGCAATGAAGCTTGGGGAAATGCTCGTTTGGAGCTTGGGTGTGCAAAAACATGTGGTTCCGTAGCTCTATGCCACATTGGAGAGGACAATGTGGCTACCAGTTTATGGGCTTCAATAGTTTTACCCACAACCCTTTGTCAATCCAGGACTGAATGGAGTCTGCCCCATACGCATCATGATTGGTCATGAGGGTTCCTGGACCGGTGTGGGTAGGAGAAGTTGAGCATAGATATGGGAACGTGAAAGTAAAGTGCAATAATGGATTTTGCTGCCTTGCGCTCCGATGACCACCCCCCCATAGCACGGCAGCCGCAACCAACAAAAACCTGGCAGCAACGGTGGCAACTGACGGATGCACTATCCAGGCTCAACCCCAATCCTGCTGAGCTTTCCAGATCTGATGAGATCGGGAGCATTTCCGGCGATTTAATCACGGGCGTCGTTATTTCACACATGAATGAATACGTCCGCGACGGGCCTTCTTCGCATTGTGGCCATAAACAATCAACGAACGAGGGGGACGCGTCCCACCTGTACTTATTTTTCCGCAAGTAGTCGAGCACGGCTGGCTTGAGCCGGGACACTCCTCCCCGGCTGTTGTTCCCTTGGCCCGTGATGACTGACAGAACGCTTGACTTTCCCTGGCCCTGGCACTCTGCCATGTGCGTGCGTGGGTCAGGGCGACAAATAATAAAATAAACGTTACCCAATGTCAACAAACATGACCTTGTGTTCAGCAGCAGCCACTCACGGAATTCGCATGTCTGGCATGAATCCTATTGCAGCGCACAATTCCAATAGTGAATCAATTTGTATCTCAATTATTCCATGTGGCTGCACTGTTTATAAACATCAGTGGGTCAATGTTGCGATGGACCTCAGTTTTGCACAGGACACTATTTGGCTTTGATAGAGCATTTAAAATGACCTGTGATACCTTAATAATGCATGTGGTCATGAAAGTACGTTTTGTGCTCATAATTGGCTTTGCAGAGTTGAATACTCATGTTAATTCTGAAATGACAGTCAGTTTGATTGCAACAAAAGTCAACGATAAAATGACTGCTGCAACAGTGTTTGAGTGTGGCAATCATACTAATGTTTAGAACCCTAAATTAAGATTTGGCACAACATTCCTGTAAGTTATGCAACTTGACAAGTCTTTTCTGGATGACGTAAAAATGTTATACAATAGCCTGCAAAAAGATAAAATGATCAGTCTACGGTTCAAACAGCCCAGGCTATGTCCTAATGGGAAGTTCCAGTTTATTAATAATGACAAATGCAAATTGCACATTTCAGGAAAAGTACATGCGGTGGCAGAGTTGACGAGTTTAAAAAAACAAGTGATTTCGCATTCATGAAAGTAATGCGATATGAATGAGATGGTCAGTATAATTTGAATGGGTCCATGATGATGGTCTTGGAGAAATGGAATGGATTAGCTCTGAACTGAGAATGATGGATGACCATAGAAAGACCCGCAGCGATAGCTGCAGTTTATCGTACACCCACATTTAGCATATTTATGTACAATACACCCACTTGTTTCTGTAGCCACTTATGCATGCAAATAGTAAACAAACGACCAAACAACCACATCATAAAACCAGTCGTTCCGTACCATCTCCCGGCAACGCATAACACCTTTGAAAAACTTCCAAGAACAATCGCCCATTCATATTCACAACCGCTGCACCGCAAATACGGTGGCATGCATGACAGGCACGTGGAAGCACGCGGGCGCGCACCTCTCTGTCGCTGCTCGAGGACGTCGGCCAGGGCGGCTGTGGCCTCGCCCACGTGAAGTCCATGCAGGTCAAGGATGCTGTGCGGGAGCAGCGCCATGTTCCGCTGCTGCAGGATGGCATGTGCCGCAAGCGCATTCGCCTCCTTCATCTTCTCACCGTGCAGGTGGCCCTGGGGTGGCACGTTCAACCACAGGCGGGATTCTCTCTCGATGCCAATGCCACCCGGAAGCCTCAGTAAGTGATCAACTTAATCTGTCGAGGATATACATCTCACTCTGTCTGGGCTATCTTCTCTTCTGCATGAAATTTTCCCCCAATCGTGTGGGGGTCTACCATCCTGGTCCTCTTAGTCCACTTATTCCAGTTTTTGCCACCTCCACACCCATTCCACATCCCTTCATATCTTGTTTTACCATTTCAAATCACCGCTTTCGAAACCTGCCTCTCGGTCTCCCCCCTGGTGTTTCCACATTTCCACATTTCTTCTGCAGTGGTTTGAGATACTTAATTTCTGTGTAAACATTTAGTAAATCGGTTAGTTGAGCTTGCAGATGGTCTTCATTTCTAAGTGAATGGATCTAATCTGATGATAAATCTATTGATACTAATCATTATTGCTTTATTGACACTCAATTTCTTTATCATATGAATACGAGTTAAACTAAAAGGATCTTCAGTCAGTCACAAAGCGTGGACCTATTTCTGGAAGAAAAAAAATAACTCGTGTAACTGGAATAGATTTGCATGTTTCAGATAAATCAACACAAGGCAGATAATGCGTGGAGAACAAAAGCCACGCACACGACCACCCACTCTCAACGACGACAGTACCCGGGGTTTATTTTAGGTCATGTGGAGAGTTACGCGCACGCTGGAAATTCCCGCAACAGGCTCAGCGCGGCCGAAATTCCCGGCCCAAGCGAACGCACCTGGCGTGCGTAGTGCATGGCGACATCGCGCATTCCCCGGTGGCATGCCTCGGCCGCCCGCTGGAAGCACTCTCTCCGCCGCTGGTGGTGCGCGAAGGCTTCTGCGCGGAAGTCGGCGTAGTCCGGCGCTTCCATGTCCTGGAAGGCGGCGTCATCGCTGTCTGGCGCTCGGGGCCCTGCGACGGACTGCGAGGGTGAAGAGGTGGCAGGAATACCGGCGCCGCCGGTACCGTGTAGCGCGTGCTCCTGCAGGCTGAGGCGTAGAGCCGTCCGCAGTTCCTGCCGCTCGTTCTCGCTATACACGTCGGAGGCCACCACCGTGCGGGCTGGGCTGGTGTCAGTGGCCAGAACGGAGCTCAGGAACTGCTGCGTGCTATCCAGGGAGTAACTGTGAAAGTGAGAACGCAATCAGCTGATTGTGATGTTCCCAAGCAAAGGATTTCCCAACCGGTGGAAAATAAAAGATGTGTAAGCTCAGATCTCAAATGAATCTCAAGCTAGCCCAGCGTGGTAGTATACACCTGTAATCTTGCACTTTCGACGTTAGGGTTAGTGGATCACGAAGATTTGTGAAACTACAAAACCCACTGGGCTGTGTGGTGGACAGGATATCACAGTGCAGCAAGAGGGTCTGTGTGGAACTTCAAGCTTTATAATCCCATATACGTGGGCTTTCTTGAGGTGCTCCTGTTTCACATCATATACAAAACACTAATAATAATGGAATTTGGCCAAAAATGCAAGAGCAAGACCCTGCTGAAAAAGTGTCTTGAGACTCAGTAAGGCCTTCGTAATTAAAGATACAAAATCTCATTATTAGTTTCTGTACAAGAATAAAAACTCAACACATGCATCAATTACACATTCAAGAAGGGCCATTCCCCGAAACGTCACTTATGATATATATTGTTACTTGTGCACCACTGCCAACACTGAATAGCCAAATAATAACACTGAAAGAAATTAAATTGTGTATTCATTTCATACAGCAATTTAAAATATATTTACAAACGTTCTCAAATGCAATACAATTTGGATAATATAGCATCTAAATATAATAGCATCTCAGCACGCTGTACAGACCTTGAACATCCTGGTAAAAGGAGGGGGGGGGGGGGTTAACTAATAATAGAAAATTAGATGGTCAATCATAGTCAGAGGAAGATTGGAAGGTGATCAGCCTGGATTCGAACAGGGGCAGGAAGTCAATGGCACCGATGGCCGAGGGCAAACAAGTTCCACATTACGCAGGCAGGAGAGAATTAGTAACCTCCCACTGAGCGATGGGTTGATGACAAAAGGTCTCGGTTGCTGGAGTGGAGAGTGTGTGGAAGAGAGTAGAGTGAGATGAGAAGGGGAAAGTAGGTAAGGACAAGCCCAAAAGGGCCCTTGAACTCAGCACCAGCCCAACATCCTAAAGAGGACAAACTTGGCACCAATTCTAAGCTTTTCTGGGAAAATTGATTCCTAACACATCACTGATAATTCCCCCCCATCGATAGCATTAGCACAGAATTATTATATTGTTTTAAGCAGACCGAAGAAGAGGCAGGCACTCACTCATGATCTCTGTAGACATCCATAAGAAACTGACGATCGATGCCCGGGAAAAGCTCGAACAACTTCTGTTCTTTCAACTTAGCCGACGCGTCTTTTTTTGTCCTCGTTCTTTTTCCTCCTCCCTGAGCCAAATAAATGTAGAGGCAATGAATTATTTATTACGGCGAGCTTCTTAAAAAAACAAACATGGACAAGAACTGTAAACAAGACACCTAGCGAAACAATTATAGTTGAAACTTTAAAAAATATGATTATTTTAAGGTAAAACTTTCCATTACTTTAACGTAATATGTATGGGCAACGCATTACGTAATGTGGTAATCTCGCAAATAAATAAACATTGACCAAAACAATTGTAAAATTATATCGTCATATAAAAATATTACGGATAAAATGCACCTTACAAATGTAAACTATATTATTACACGTACAGCCCCTTGGTCAATCCACTACTCGATGAGGACCTCCCCACACCGTGCAGGAAGGGTTACTTGATCATACTTCACCACAATGGTCAGTGCGAGTTGTGAAGGTCGTTATTATATAAAACTAATGCAAGGGTTAAGGAAAGGAGCCTAGAGCAGAACATATTGCAAAAGTAGATATTGAGCGGTGGTTGTGAATAACGATCGAATACCAGCCAAATTAAATCATCTCCTGTATAGATGCTCGATGGATTGTTGCATCGCATGACCACGAGAGATGGCAATGGCTTGGGAAGGCCTTCATCCGGCGGTGGATAGATCACGGCTGATGACGGTTGAATGCAAAAAGTAACACATTTCCAGAAAATAAGCTAACTTAACCCCCCTCCTTTGACGCAGGTCACAACCCGTAAAATAGGAACACGTACTAAAATTACTCGCAAAAGCGTCAGAAATACTGCAGCGGGAATCTCATGGGGGTGCGACTGACTGTGCTCACCTCTTCCCTGCTCAGCTGGGAGGCCAGTTCCTCTGACATGATGTCCAGCAGCGATGAGGGCTGCCCCTGACTCTGCCTGTAGCTGGGCGCGTATGGAGAATCCCACAGATCCTCGTCGACGCTGGGGCCCAGCAGCAGAGACACCGGCATGGACGTCCACTGCTGCCGGCGGCCCGGCGTGGCATTAGAGGCACTACCGGGTCTGGGGGGGCCGCGGTTTTGCGAGAACGAAGGCCTGTCCGCTGCTTGGTAGTCCTCGGACATCATAAACTGGGACCTCGCGTCTGGAGCAGGGCAGTTACAGGAAAGAAGAATAAATCGGCCCCTGTTCATGGGTGGTTGTTCCAGCCAGTAATATTGGAGTATCCAATGGCTTTGAAGACTTATTGAAATTGAAATCTGGGCCACATTTCCTTGTTTGAATACATTCTACTCAAAAACAACTCATTTGAAAAGGGCCAAATGGCAGATGAATTAAATCAATCAGGATTTATATCGTATCTAATTGTGACTGCATCCTCAAGATGCTGTACAAAAACATTGGGCATATTTATTTTATAGCAAGGGTCAAAATTAAGGTTGTGAGTCTGGCCTTGCAAAGTGGCAGAGTCGACAGCATGGATGGCTGGGAGAAAGGAGCTCCAGACAATGGGGGCAGCAGAGGAAAGCAAGTGACCTCCCACTGAACAAAGGTTGACTGGGGGCTTCGAAAGCCTCGATTGCTGGAGGGGAGAGTGCGTGAAGGGGAGTAGATTAAGATGAGAGAGGAAGGTGGAGGCAGGGAAAAGTGACTGCCTATACCGTTAACTACCAATTGATTTCCCTGAATAAACCGATGTCGGTTTTTATGATAGAAAATTAAATTGAAATTACCTGGATCATTTTTGGAGGCTGAAGCAAAATTCAATATATTTTGGTTGTGGTCATTAAATTTTTTATCGCATTTACAACGTTCAAGTGGGATCCTCTTACGCAGCGACACTTAAAAAATTTGTATTGGTTAAATGTGTAGTGTCTTAAAAAATTACTCACACCGACACGTTGTAACAAGTCACCCGCTTCTTGTGCCAGTTATAGGCACTCCTATAACTATCTGTACGGTCACATATATTTAACTTCTCCCCGCTCTTATCTATTCTGCACCTCACTTATCCTGCACTCAGCAGCTCTGCTCTCAGCAACTCTGCACACAACGTCTTCGCACTCAGCAACTCCGCACACAGCGTCTTTGCACTCAGCGACTCTGCACACAGCGTCTTTGCACTCATCGATTCTACACACAGCAGCTCCGCACTCAGCGACTTTGCACACAGCAACTTCGCATCTCCACCGCTGCCCTCACCTACGCTCCTTCAGACCAGCTCACCCGTCTGTCCCGGGCGGGGGATTCGGCCAACACCCACCCGGCGACGGCGTGAGGGCTGAGGTCCCGTTTACGGCTGGAGCGGCAGCGGTGAGATGTCTTCACTCTTGGTTCCCAGAAACAACAACTCCCCTCGCTTACACACACTCCCGCTTATATCCCCATGCTCATTCCGAGTCCTCATGTGCTTCACTTAAGTTGCTGCCAGGCCGGCAAATGTTGTCCCATTAATTCCTTATCATCACCCCCCATCTCCCGTCTCCTAGGTGCCAACCTCCGGTCACAGCGTACCCACCTGCTCGACCACAGTTGCACCCGCTTCTCCGCTTAACTACTGTTGGTTTGTCGGTGCAAACCTCATGTTGCAACCCGCACACCTGTTTGCCCTCCGTTGCACCCGCTAACTGTGCGCACCGCGTATTTCTCTCCTCTACAAATGTTTCACATGAATAACGTTGTAGCACTGCCTCGGTCTTCACAATGTACTCTTTAGAAACCACAAGGGCCAAGAGATAGGTTTTAGAATGTCATACATTATATTGGTCATGTTTTCTAATAACACTGAAAAACATCAACATTCTAACTAATATACCATTCACTATCATGATCCCCAAGGGTATGCTACGATAGGTCATGCTTCTAAAATAATATTGCACTGTTGTTAATACAAGTAGGGTGTTGTGCGTGATATATTTGTACTCTTTAATATATTTTAAACCATTACCTTCTTGCAAAAGCTGGTAAGACAAGGCCTCTTCCTTCTGACGGGCCTACACAAACACGACAGCATCAAAAGTATTAGACATAAATAAGTAATGGTATTATATTTTTTAAGATATCCGATTCCTCCATATTTTATTTCCCCCTACTTATATACTGGTCAATAAACTATGGTACATTCCTGCAATTGCACAAGTACAAACGGAGCTCAGGATGATGCGGTATTTAGACGTGGGTGAAATAAATTTCCGTTCTAACAACAATGCCATCGAACCTAACTTAAAGCAGATGCTCACTTCAAATGTATTTAAAACAATCTGGGATAAACATTACCGATGCATAATTGCATACACAGCGACGCCTTGGAAGAGATAACAAAAGTCCAATCGTGTGATCTAATCAGTAAATAATGACGATAAAAATATAGCACTGTATACAAATGCCTTCTGGCTGCTCATATACTACAAAATCTGATATTGCATTCAGCAGGTCACAAGAGGCTATATTAAGCTGTGAACATAACAGAGTTGTGTTCTAACTATTCCAACCGTTGAACAAAGACAGTTACTGCATCGTGCGCTTTAAGATGCGCTTCAGCGGCCATCTGGAACGCTGTTCCTTTCGATATTAACAAGCCACTGGAGCTATGCACTTTAAAATCTAGATTGAAAACTAATTTAGAACTCATTTTTGTGTTAAGTTTGTTGTCCTTCTCCCTCACATCTGATTAGCATGGTTGGCTAAGTACGGTGTGAAAGAAGTTCAACATACATACATGTCGTTCCAAGCTCGATACCGTACAAAGGTGTTTGAGCAAAGGGGAAATTCAATACGGCGAGTGAGTGAGCGACCAATGGGAAGTGCTTTGTGGCAAGAGGTCTGGTCTGCGGGGAGACACACACCATGACGGAATCCTTCCAATGCTGGTGAATCATCTGCGCCATTTTCATATCGATTCGCACCGCCAGGTCCTCGGGGGCCAGTGAAACTGCATGCAAGGAGTCAGAGTCAGCAATGTTCACAGCAAACAAAACTGGATAGCAGCGTTGCGCTTGAATCACAGGCCACGCACTGCGTGAACTTTGCCGCTTGGCAGCCTTCAGCTTGACCGTGTTTAAGCGATAGTTGTATTTGCGGAGGAACTTTGGCCTGGAATGACCAGTATAAGGCAGATAAGGTGCCAATTCTTAAATGGCATACTAGTCAAGACTAATCTTAATCACACATTGTGATTAAGACCAAAACAAATGAAGGTAATAAAGAACTGCTTTATAGAAGATTGGTGGGATCTGCAGCTCCCTCAACATTACTGCACTCAGGTGACACCAGTGATATTTTAGCACAGGCAGTATGGCAACAAGAGAGTGACTAAGAGGACAGCAGTGGCCTTTATAATTTACTGCAGTAGTTTTATAGGCACGATGTCACAAAACCTTTTCATAAGCAATCTCAAGAGCCATTATCACTTATCAATTGCCTGCTCTGATTTGACTTTAATTACCACCGCCACAAATGGAGTTTTGACACTCCCGCAGCTGGAGTGCCATCAATATGACCGCTTTTTCAAATGCAAGTGAGAGCATTAAGAATGTATAGGAGTGGTCACTTCCACCCGAAGGGGCCCATTAGCCCTGGCCCACTACAAATTAATTGACTCGGCATAGGAAAGGCGCGCTCTACATCCCGAATGCTGTGGAAATATGTCAAGCTGTAGTTTCTAACCATCCGGCCACGATCGAGAGTTCGGTTTGCCCTCTCGCCGGCGCTGCACCGATTAAAATGTTTGCCGCCACGCTGTCAGCACGGGGGGGGGGGGGGAGGGGTGGGGGGAGGACATGCCAGCCAGGTTCATGCCGCAAGAATGCAGTTGTTGCCGAAACCAGGCTTTCAAATACCCGACTAAAATATAAACAATAAACTACGACGCGTCGCACCAGTGCAGATCTCGACACAAGAGGCTGGAAGCATGAATATAAGATGCATCACCAGTCGGCTAAAGAATAGCATCCACATGCAAACATAAACGAAGCTGCAGCGAAGGGAAGAAGCGGCCATAAACGCAATATCTGGTTATGTGTAAGCAAGTATAGATAACATACCCCCACAGGAAAAATCACCAGTAGCTGCAGAGATGCGGACAAGAAAATTAATATTTAACTTTTTAAAAAAAATTCCACAAAATTATTTCGGTAAACCTTTGCAGTCTACAAAACACCCTGGCAAGCGAATTATGCTTAATTTAATATCCTGGCTTTAATCCATGGCTTGACAGGGCAGAGCAAGTGTTTTGCGTAGACACATTTTCACTCGCATTGTTACCACGTGTGAAGACACAAAATATGATTACTACTGATAGCTGAGGGGCTGAATGTTCCCACCATCTTATACCACACATCACAAAAAGTTATAAGATACAGGCTCTACTATTTACCATAATCATTACCATATATACATTACATAAATCATCCCAGTCACCATCTTCCTACATATTTTGTAAATAGCCAGCTATGCTGTAACAAAACGTACCGGTAAGCTCCTCTGAGCATATTCAAGTGTGGCAAAGGCTTTTTATTAAGCACCTCATTGCTACCCAGATTGAACAGTGTAATCAGTGTGAAGCTAATATTTTTGTTTACAGCTCAATCTGTTTATCGCTCATGTTTTGCTGTAAGTGCTGCAATATAAGTTTTTTAAAACGGTATGAACCTGGCAAACTGAGTTCTGTATCCGATTCTCGGTCAAGGCCAACATCAGTGGGGATATCCAAACTGGCTCCTGTGGCCCCTGCACCAATTCACACGCTGATCAGCGGTGGTGAAGTATGGCCAAATAACCCCCCTCGCGTGGGAAGAGTCTGCATCCAAACAATGGGTTGTAAATCAATCATCAGATCAACATACAAAATAGACTCGTGCGTGTTTAATGTAACCCTCAGCAACTTACAATCATCCAGGCCAATAGGGCCAAAGAGCTCTACGAGCTGTATAGCCAGCTCGTGGGGGAGGGAGAACTCCAGGGTGGACAGGTGGGGAAGGGCATTGGCTCCATCTCCCGCCAAAGGCTGTGCAGTCCTCCCCGCCCCCGGGCCCTTGTCGAATAAATCATCGCCTTCCACTTCCCGCACTTGACCAACGGCACTGCCCTCCGTCGCCCCGCGAGACAGTGCTTGCTGCACTGCGCCCGCTTCTATTTCGATGCCCCTCGTGATCGCCGGCTGTGCAGGCCGCGTCTCTGAGGTACCAGCCGCTTCCAGGACTGGTGCCGCCAACGAGGCGTTTGATGCGTTGCCCGGGGCCATTGCCGTCCGAGGGGTGAGCTGCTCCCAAGTGGTCACCGTCTCACTGGCGCGAGCCCTTTCCGATGCCCGTGGCACCCTGTTGTCTGAAGATCTTAGCTTGTCATCCGTGGAAATAATAATCTTTCTGTCCAGCATTGAGTCATCTTGAATTGCAGCACTGTATTCACAGCAGTCACCTTCTTCTCGCTCTGCAGGATTGTCCGTTTCACCTTCCACACGGTTCACATCATGGTTCACAAACGTACATTCACAATCGGCACCTTTAGTTTCGTGACCTAAGGAAACCTCATGCCTGCTCTCTCCGGGTACAACATTTTCTTTAGGTTGGACATTATCGAAGTGTTGGCCACCAGTGCCTGTTGTACCATCAATTTCTTCACCCATTTGCTGATGTCCACAATCAGACAAGACTGCTGTGTTTACTTCACTGACAAGCCTCGGTGGGGTGTTTTTCCACCAATCAACCAACGTATCCTCAACATCGTATTTTTTTGGGCAGAAACCAATTCCACTTTCATCTTCTTTGCTTCCAGTGCCGATGCTTGTGTTGCTGGGGCCAGTTTCAGTTTGTTTTCTGACAGGCTGAGCACGAGCAGTGTGACAAAGCACGTCCGGTTGCATTGATGAATCACTATGCAATACACGGTTCAATACTTGGGTATTTTGATTCGTTGAACACTCCATGGTTTCTATCTCCTGCAACACATCTTCATCAATGAATGATGCCGCTTCAGTGTCAGTTTCTTTTTCTGTTATTTCTTCAGACATTTCAACACCTGATTCGATTAAAACATTTACTGCCCAGTTTAAATTCCTGTTACATTTTTCATAAATGTCAACCAAAACCTCTCTGCTGACTGATCTAAAATGTGTTACCAAATATTCTGCATCTCTCTCCGGTTCAGGATTATCCATGTCTTCTGTTAATATACCTTTGTCAAGTTTTAATTTATAAGGAATATTGGGGCCCGTTTCATCAGCAGTTGCAACAGCTTCATTATGGATAGTAAATCGATCTGGATTCCCGCATAGAACTACAAATGGATCAACACTATCCAATTTGTTTTTAGTCACCTTCCATATCAACGCAAAGTCCTCTGGTGCTGTGTAAGTGGACTGATGTTTTCGATCCAAAGGACGCGCAGACTTATCGTGGCTATCGACCACAGTGTTGCCATCATTCTGCAAGCTCAACGCTTGTGAGAAATGTGCAACTAACTTAACTGTTTTGGCAGACCGAGGCATGGAGGTAACGGCAGCTGCACCTTTCGGATCATGAGAACCTTCCATTGCATCACTGGAAACGGCCAGCTGTTCGTTCTGCTTCAAGCGGACAGTTTCCATTACCTGGGCCAAGAAGGGATTTTCATCAACGAGCAATGAACTGGCCACTTTCAGAACATGAGGTACGTTATCTGAACGTTCTGTAATCCAACCTTCAACGGCAGCAGTAACCTTATCTGTGCATGATGCACTGACAATGCCCCCAGGCTGCCCACGCACGGCTTCCTCGTTTTTTTCGAAATCCGCTCCTGTGTCATCGTGCGGCTGTTTAACGGAAAACACATCTTCTTCCGCCATGTCGGCTCCTTCTCCAGGCCCAGTGCTTACAATGTCAGCGGGCATGCAGGCATCAATCTCTGGTTGCTTCTGGGTAGCGCTGGGCTCAAAATCTTCCTGCAGCTTCTCAATGCTCATCTCTTGTGCATTTCCTGCATCAAGGCTTTCATTTACTTCACCGCTTGCAGAAGCTGCAGTTTCACACCCAGGGATATGACAAATTGTTAAATCAGGAGCGGCCTGACTCTCAACTTCCTCTGTATTTTGCGTTGAGTCATGCCGTTGCCTTCTTACTCTCTGGCCAAGTGGGACAGTGGGAGTATCCGAGGGCCAGTCATCTATTGGATCAAATTCATTTCTCGAAAGATCAGAAGTTTGTTGGGGGATTTGTTTGGCTGGACTCTTTAGGTGCCTCGTTCGAGTCCTTTTTTTCATCGTTATGCTCAATGCAATTGGATTATCTGTGACTTCATTATCTGCAGCATTCATTCCACTATCAGCCGTTTGGCTCGATGCAAAATATTTGTCGGGTTCAGCGACTTCAGCTTGGCAATCAGAAGCCAACGTTTTTGGCAACCTCTCAGCAACCGCCCTACTTTCAAGTGGCAATACGTCTGGAAGAAGAATATTTTCTGTTGAACGTGCATCACTGTTATCTTCGATATTTTTATTCACCGTCACTACAGCCCCTTCAGAAGATGTATTGCCAAGGGAATGCTGTTTAAAACCATTGGATGGTCGCCCTGCACACGGCAGTGAGCCGTTTTCAAGATTAACAGCCTGCTGCAAGGCAGCTCTTTGAGTCTGGGCAAGCATCTGTTTAGATTTTCCCTTGACGTCTTCTTGTCTGCAACATGAAATTAAATCACGGACTGAACATTTTAACCTAAATGCAATTTACAGTATGACCTATTAATCACATCAAGCCACATCCATGACAGACTTTTAAACTACACACTAACACAACTTTTTAATTTAATTGAGCACGTTAAATTTGGAAAATTACACCGAATCACAATCGAAGGAAAATGCACGCAATATTGAGAATGCAATTAAGAATACTTCTGTAATTGACTGGGTTACGTAAGCAATGGTGTACCTCATTGCGGTAAAACAGTCGACTCATTTTCTTCTGTTTCACAAGTGCTATCAAAAACTGCGGGCGAGCAAGTTTCACTTACCCCACCCAATGGTCACGCGTAGATTTGAAGGAGCCCATTATTCTCTCCACAGTCATGTGACGCTCGTAATTGTTTAGCATGCGTATTATCTTCTCCCTAGAAATTCCATGTACATTTCGCCTGCGGACAAGAACCAAGAAACAATATCCACTTTGGTATTCACAAGAAAAAAATCTAAAATTACAGATTTCGACATGTGTTTTTAAAACTCTCATCAGAAGTAAAGGATGTTCAATGGAATGGTGAGTAATTTTAGGTTTCAATTATCGAAAAAAAATCTGAAGAACTGTTTTCATACTTTACAGGACTTACTTCTCCAGTTCTCTGGTCTTAAACTTCCATGGCGTTTCAGGCTCTTTGAAAACAATCTTGTATTTCCTTTGCAGTGCCTTTAAAACAACGGCATCACACGTAACATACTGCATTATGCCTGCCGTCCTTGATGCTTTATGTATTCCAAGGTAAACAAAAACTACTCCCGTCCACAGCCACTTCACTTGTCTACATGTTATTTCATGAATGTGGCCTTTCTAGGAATAACCGTTTTATGCTTTGTAAGAGTCAGTCGATGGCACTCAAAAAATCACTCAAACTCAACAAAAGCTGCCGTTTCAGATGCCGAAAAACATATGAAATGACACACGCCTGGGTCATGCTATTCGGTCATGGTCCTTATGATCACTGTTACATTGCATTTATGGCTTTTATTTTGGTGATTTTGAAAACGTTTTTTTGTTTTGGCCATGTTTTTGTTTATTGTAGTACGGAGTTGGACTGATGGCCTTAATCTTAGTTGTCTTGTGGTTGTTGTTGTTATTTGACTTGCATCCCACTGGGATTTTTGCACACAGCGTTGGTGTACGGTGCTTTTTCTGCAATATTTTGATGTTTTTTTTTCTCCTAGATTTTTCTGTTTGCACAGTCACACAAAGTCACTTTAAGATATTTTCTTGTTCATGTTTTTTGTTTGTTGCGGTTGCACCCGATTCAAGAGCCGAATGGCTCACAGGGCTATACCAAATAAATGAACTATGAACTATGAAAACTATATCACGGCGTGTGTTTCTTTTGTCTGTGATTGTAATGATAAACACGACTATACGCTTTGTGCAACGATTGCTTCACATAAGAAACAACAGGTTGTTTTTATTCTACAGCTATGGACATTCCATTATAAATATAACAAGAGTACTATTAGAAACGTACAAGTCTTGATGTATCAATTACACGGTGTGTATATGTACACGTAGACTGAAAAAATGGGGAGAAATAGTGGAACGGTTAGCCCGCTGCACAACAAATCCTGCCGACCCCAGTTCGATTCCCACTCACAGCCAACGCCACTGACAATTATCTGAATCGCTTCTGGGCCTCCCCAAAGTCGACACAGCCTCAAATGAGTACCTGGTGTGGTGTGTAAACATCGCCACTGGGGAGACATATACGGTCGGACATGGTGCTGGCCACCTACCCCCTTGTGTACCATGTTGGCCTTCATAGGTGCTCGCTAACAGCACTTTCCCCAACAGTCTATTTAGGCTATATGGGGGGGATCTATGTTTTTGTACATGTGTGTGTGCAGCTATTCTACTACACCTGGTCATCAACGAAGAAGCATGCGGCATGATGTTAATAACATGCTCCTGCACTTTTTCATTTTACAGGCAGCTTCTGTGTATGAGGCGAGCTGCTGAGCATCTGTGTTTGTGGTGTGTTACCATGGCAACGTAGGGTCTCATCTCCCAGCTGTGCGTGTTGGTATTGTCAATAATGATGGGTGACATTCCTGCATCCATCGCGTCCCTGGCTTCACGCACAAAAAAAAACTATGCAAATGCATCCTAACCATTGCACGTGTTACGCCCGAACATGCTCGCACTAAATCAGTGGAATCAAGTGCAACGGATAGGGAAGCTTGTTTTCATTGCACCCTCGTCCATATGTAATTCGGTGACCTTTTATGATAATTATATGTTTAACACTAGAAAAACAGACATTTATATTACAGGGTTTTTTTTTTCTCCATTCTGTTGCACCGACCTTAAACAAGCAATGATGCTAAAGGTTATTTTTTTAAAGAGATATACACATTTTACGACCAGATAACAGCATATCGAGACCCAAAGTCTGCTATTCAAGGGACACTTGGATTTAAACAAGTAGTGCAAAACCATTTTTTTGTGTGTAAACAATACAATGCAAAAAAAGCCACATTTAACATTTCAACATAATTAAAAATAAATTTTAAAGGACAGAACAAAATAATTATACATTTGACATTAAAAAATCCAATTTGTGCGCCTCCATTTTGTACAATCGTATTATTATTACTACGTAAAGTAAAAGATATTTTTTATCTTAGTGCACACTGTGAAATGTCCCGTTCTCAAAGCATTTTTGACAGTCACTTACATGGAGTATAAACCATACACATAGTGATTTATGTGCTTGTTATAGAGCTCTGGAACACAGGGTCAGGGCTCGAACTAACAGCTCCTGGAATCGAAAACATCGCATGCCATCTCCGAGCCAAGTGTACCTCTCACTGCCATCTTACTCAAGGTACAAAAACCAACCGTATCAATCAGGTACCTCGCTTGTGGTTCCATTCATGCGCCTCGCCAAGCACCGAGGGGTCGTAGCAGTAAGTCCCGTTTTTAACAAAATAGTCGTCTGTGCTCAGGATGACCCCATTTGGACCTTGCTCCTTAATATTTCTGCAAATTTCAGATAAATAACTTTAGAGGTGAGACGCTGCAGTCAACTTTAGCCATCCATCAACACTGCTCCGAGCGCTAAAAAGTTATTGAGATTTTGAATTCCGTTGACAAATTACGTTGACAAACGTTGACAATAGCGGAGCATAATAATTTCGACTTGTAACAGCGCACGGCGTTCGCTCACTCTCGAAGAAAAAGAATGACTCACGAAGCGCAAGGAACCACGGACAAGCAGGAAGGTGGCCACGCAGTGAGCCGGTGCCAATAATTGCCCAAGCTCTTTGGTCCTCTGTGTAATAAGGTGTTATCGGCCAATTAACACGTGGGGAGAAACCGGAGCACGAGGAGAAAACCCATGCATTTGAGGCTGAAATACTCTATCCTATGCATACGTAAAAGGTGTGTCCACATTTTTGCTGTAGCGCATTCTCCTGTCGAGCCATGGTATGTCACTTCAACGCCGAGGGGGAAGGGAGTATCACAACATTTGTGCGATCCACCAACCTTCGCCTCCACAGCGCTGGATTACAGGTGTGCGCCACCACCGCCCAGCAATTCCAAATCGGAAAAAAGGCTAATGGGGATTATTTAAAACCTATATAGCTATAAGACTGGATTGCGGTCAGAAATAATTAGAATCAGAATCTTTATTTAAACTCTAGAAATCCAATCAGTTATGAAGCTCTTTTTCACTCATATCTAGCAGGGGGCAGGTCAGCAAGTTACAACGAACAATGCAAAAAAGCCGAAAGGAGTGGAAAAGATAAAAAGTAAGCAAAAATAAATATTCATACAGCATACAAGTACAAATTATATATGTATACATACATGCCGATTTTACAAAACTAAATGCAAGCTGGGGAAAGGCAGCAAAACAACAAAAACAGTCTAAGACCCCACTAAGGCAACACAATCCATCAATAAAATTGCACATTGAAAATGCACTATCGATCCATGCGTAGTGTAGTGAAATACGCAGTGCGCACAGTTAACCGAGGGCAACTGAGGGCAAACAGGTGCGCGTGAGGTTTGCACGGGCAAACCACCAGTTAAGGGGCGAAACAGGTGCAAACGGGGACAACCGGTTGTGCACGCTGAGACCGGAGGTGTTGCCAGGGAGACGGGAGATAAGGGTTGATTGATGGGCCGACAGGCGCCAGCCTGGCGAGAGCTTAAAGAGACGCACGAGAGTGCAGAAGAATATAAGGGCGTGTGCGTGAGCGGAGCGGGGAGTTGTTGCCGGGGACCAAGTAAAAAGACATCTCGCCGCTGCCGCTCCAGCCGTCAACGCAACCTCAACCCTCACGCCGTCGCCGGGCGGGTGATGGCTGATCCCCCTGCCCGGGACAGACGGGTCAGCGGGTCTGAGGGAGTGTAGGTGAGGGCAGAGGTGTAGATTTGCTGTGTACGAAGTCGCTGTGTGCGAAGTCGCTGTGTGCGAAGACGCTGTGTGCGGAGACGCTGTGTGCGGAGTCGCTGACAGTAGCACTGCTGAGTGCAGGATAAGCGAGGTGAAAGGTAGATAAGAGTGGGGAGAAGTTACCGTATAGATCAGGGGTCCCTAACCCCCAGTCCGTGGCCCGTTAGGATTCGGGCCGCACAGCAGGAGGTCAGCGGTGAGTCCGCGCGTGGCCCGCCCATTATTTTATCTACCACTTCCGTCCAGCCTCTTTCCCGCACTGTGCACTTGTCTTAGTCACAGTTCTGGTAAGCCCACAAGCTAACCCTCGCCAAAATGATTAAAAAACAAACGTCGCTGGAGAGCTTCTTTGAAAAGGGGTAAAGACCCAATGATGAACCCCCCCCCCCCGGTCCGTACATTTTTTGTCTTCCACGAAACCAGTCCCTGGTGCCAAAAAGGTTGGGGACTGCTGGTATAGATAGTTATAGGAGTGCCTACAACTGGTCCAAGAATAGGTTAATAAAGTGTAAGCAGGTGACTTGTTACAACATGTCGGTGCGAGTAATTTTTGAAGACACCACACATGGGTGAGGACCAAACTTACAAATCACATTTGCAAATATGAATGTATCCAGCACCAATCTTAAATGATCTAAGTATAGTGCAGATCGGACAATAGGAGATAAGTAGGAAGGAAAAAGTGGCACCGATCTCAGACAAGCTAAAAGAAAGTTGACTCAGATGGCCGGGAGATGTCATAGAAAGGAAAACTATCATAAGAAATGCGGTGCCCATGGCAGCACAACCATTGTGACTGAGAGGCAGGCCTAGAAAGATGTGGCTTAGTGTGGTGACCAAAATGACTCTGGAGCAGATGTGAGGAATGAGAATAGAAAAAGGATCAGAAAGGCAGATCCTACATGAGGGGGGAAAATGTCAGGTAGAAGACAAAAACGTGTACTTTTGATTCATGAAATGCACATTGGTCGCAGGCCACATGGCAAAAAGCCTTAGTTACATATATGCGTCGTGATCATACGCAATGGGATTAAATGCACACATTTATCAGCGTGACTGTGGGCAGGGGGAAACATCACACAAATTCAATCCATTACCAGCAATGGAATGTGCATGCCTGGAACACAAGTGTCATTGCCTCATTGCACGTTTATTTATAGCGCTGCAATGTTGTAGTTTGGAGCCTCTGGATTATTTGTCACTCTGCCACTGCCACATGTGCACACACTTTTTTTTTGTCGAAACAAAAGTAATGAACAAAAATTTATAAAAACATAAAAGTGATTTTTTGATTTAAAGCTTTCGTGACTGCAGGGATTCAAATTCTTGGTTCTTTCGGTAAAGTCACGTAGAAGGGAAACAATAAAATAATAAAAATATAAAAAATAAAATTCTCACAACGTTTCGACTGCAACACAAGCAATCATCATGAGGTGTGAAAACCACAGGAAGAAAATTTGAAAAAAGTGGCGGTTATTTTTAACGTTAGCACCACGGAAAGCGATTTGACAGTTTGTTCAGATGGACGAGTCCATCTATGTTCGGAAAAGAGGAGGGGGGAGACGAAAATAATGGATGCGGTCTGAAAGCCACCGTAAGCATAAACAATCAATTAAGACTCGAAATGGTTTATCAAATGCTTCCAATGATTGCTAAGCCAGAATCCATCTTCTCGGTTGAAATTGTCTGTGTTTGTATATGTGGATAGCCTCATGAACGAATCTCTCATGGTAGCCCGGTGGCTTGCAAAGAACCTATGTCTTGGAGAAGTCAATGTCATGCGAGCCTACTGAATTATAACAGTGATCTTCCACGGCCGAGGTGTTGGTCCTACCATGTTTTAGGTCTGCTTTGTGTTTTCTCGAATGAGGTCCGAGACATGTCGTTTGGTTTCTCCAATGTAACTACTACCACAGAGGCAACTTAGTTTGTAGACGCCAGGGTACTGTATGTCCGGAATCACATCTTTTACAGAAGGAACCAGATCACGGATTTTATGTAATGTGTTGAATCGGATCTGGATCTTGTGTTTATTCAAGATTTTGGAGTTTTTTTTGTGATCCCCGCAATGTAGGGTAAAGTGATGGTTTTGAAAGGCTCCTCAAGAGGGTCCTTCTTCATGGTTGGAGTGATAGCTTTGCAGATTGTGTAGTCGGAGTAACCATTAGCCTTAAGAGCTTGGTGTACATGCTTGAGTTCACTGGCTATGTGTTCCTGGTCGGATATGCATTGGGCTCTATGGTGCAGAGTCTTGATGAGGGAATTCTTCTGGGATGGATGGTGGTGGGAATCCGGTTTCAAGTAAGCATCCGTGTGGGTAGCTTTCCTGTAGACAGAGTGGCTCATTGAACCATCAGGTCTCTTTTTTGTTCGGACATCCAAAAAAGGCAGCTTGCCATCTTTTTCGACTTCCATGGTAAATCTGATGGCTGGGTGGCCAGATGACACTTTTGTCATCTAGCCACATGGCTAATGGTTACTCCGACTACACAATCCGCAAAGTTATCACTCCGACCATGAAGGACCCTCTTGAGGAGCCTTTCAAAACCATCACTTTACCCTACATTGCGGGGATCACAAAAAAAGATCTCCAAAATCTTGAATAAACACAAGATCCAGGTCCGATTCAACACATTACATAAAATCCGTGATCTGGTTCTGTCTGTAAAAGATGTGATTCCGGACATACAGTACCCTGGCGTCCACAAACTAAGTTGCCTCTGTGGTAGTAGTTACATTGGAGAAACCAAACGACATGTCTCGGACCGCATTCGAGAAAACACAAAGCAGACCTAAAACACGGTAGGACCAACACCTCGGCCGTGGAAGATCACTGTTATAATTCAGTAGGCTCGCATGACATTGACTTCTCCAAGACAGAGGTTCTTTGCAAGCCATCAGGCTACCATGAGAGATTCGTTCATGAGGCTATCCACATATATGAACACAGACAATTTCAACCGAGAAGATGGATTCTGGCTTAGCAATCATTGGAAGGATTTGATAAACCATTTCGAGTCTTAATTGATTGTTCACGCTTACGGTGGCTTTCAGACCGCATCCATTATTTTCATCTCCCCCCTCCTCTTTTCCGAACATAGATGGACTCGTCTATCTGAACAAACTGTCAAATCGCTTTCCGTGGTGCTAACGTTAAAAATAACCACGACTTTTTTCAAATTTTCTTGCTGTGGTTTTCACACCTGATGATGATTGCTTGTGTTGCAGTCGAAACGTCGTGAGAATTTTATTGTTTTATATTTTTATTATTTTATTGTTTCCCTTCTACGTGACTTTACCGAAAGAACCAAGAATAGAAAAGTTAATGTTCACTGCAATTTTTTTACCTGGATCCAGTATGATTTATCTAAACCAAAGAGCGAAGTCTATTTTAACACTAGATATTAGCAAGTGTAACATTTAATAAAGCACTGCTCTGTATTGAAATATATATAAAACATTCCTCTAAGAAGCATGTGCATCTTATACGCAATTATGTGGCTGTAAGCTTACCTGGCCAAGGTTGATTTCCCAGATCCTGGCAAGCCACGAAGCAAAAATAGGACCTTCCCTTCTTTAGACCTGGATCTCATCTTGCTCAGCGGAAATGGCTGTCTAGGCTCAGGCGGGGCTTGCGTTGGCCAAGGCTGCTTCGGCAATGGATGCGCATGTTTCTGCACTGGAGCATTTGGACGAAAAACGAATGGCACTGCCATCGGATTCATACTGTACACATTGCCACCAGGCTCTGTGTAACCATACACCTGGTGATTCCAGCTGTTATCTGTGGGAGGCATCTGTCCGAAGTTTGACATCAGAGATTGGCCACCCCAGCCTTGCCAGCCACCACCAGACAGCCACGTCATAGGTTGTTCATGCTGGCTCAGTGGATGGGTCTGCTCTCTGCTGTATGAGGGAGGCCAGACCTGCATTGGTGTCCACTGTCCAGTGGAAATATTCTCATTTTGTTGCCACTGAGACTCAATGGACCCATCAACTTTGACCGTTTGTCCACTTTCTCTTAAAGAATCAGATGTGGGCCTGAAGGCCGCATCAGGTATCTCCAATGCACTCCAACCATGAGAAGATGATGAAGTATCAACATCTTTTGCATGTTCTTGTCTTGCGCCACGATCAGCAGGTGTCACTCCATCTGTTACAGAATCAGCTAAGCCTCCAACATTTGACTGGGGTTCTTGTAAAACCGCAGAGCCTTCATTGTGCTGAATTTCTTCCATTTCATTGATGGCCATTTGCAGTTCTAACTCTGCTTCATCCACAACACTTTCACCTCTGTCTGCACGCATGTTTTCTTTTGTACTGCAAACTATACTTCCGTAATTATCAGAAAAAGAAACATGGCAATTTTCAGCAGGCTGCTGAAGGAACGGCACACCACTACCCTCCAGATTGCTGCTTACTGGCCCACAATTTTCAGAACTCCTGTTGCTTTGATGATGCCGATCTGAACGAGTGGTTCCAATAACACTTTCCTGTACTATACTGGAGGGAAAGGATACTTCTAAAACTGAACTCACAGCCTCTGATGGCAGCAGATTCAAAGTAGACCAGTCATCTATTGAAGAAGTCACAATACTGAAATTTGCACTGCTCTGCTCACCAGATGACACAGTGCCAACACTGTCAGCTGGATAAACGTAATTAAATTCATCTGCAGGTCCTTTCGTTGAGCTTGAAGTGTAAACGATATCACCGGTGTTTGTAGCTGACCTTGGTTGCTCATAGTCACCAATCCAATTACTGCCACCGCTCATCAGCTCGTGAGCAATGGCATTCAAACCTTCTGCTCTCAGCTGCTGTCGTGGGCCAACAGCCCCGCTGAGCTCCAGCAGGGAGTCCATTGCCACGTCAGCTAAACAAACCAGGGGGAGGGAGATGGCGAGAAACGTGTCAGCTGTGCAGGTTATGAACAGTCCAAGACAATCCATACGTCAGCATTCAATAAAGTAGCGTAATTCAATGATAGCAATCTAATAAACGACCGCATGTTCTTCACAGCACCTTTGCACTGAAATGCCCTAATTTGCACCATAAATGTGTCAATGTGGATTTTTTAAAGGTTGTATGGGAATTCAACGAAAGTTTACGAAGTACAAAAGCCGTGTAAAATATAACATCGAACCATATTTTAAGTCGGTTACACGTGGCAGGTATTCATGACATTGAAGTAAAATGTAGTCTCTGCATAAAGACTACATTGCTGTTATTTAAAGTACAATACACACCTTTGAATACTTTCACCTTCCCACAGGCTATGTTTGTTTGGTCAAGATGATGGGGTGGGCAGTGGTTCGCAGATTGCAAGCCCACTTGACTGGGTTGGATTCCCAGCTATGGCTAACACGAGCGACAAATTATTGCGAAACCAACTCTTGTACCACCCCCCCACCGCCCTTCACCAATCCGCACTGCCCAGCGTGGTGAAGTTTAGTCATACGACATCTTTGACTAACGCAGCATGGGGAGACCGAACTTGAGCAATGGCCTGACAAACGGCTGTATATTATATTATCATGACGACGTCGCTGATATGGTGAAAATAATGAAAACTGTGATGAATACGGTCGTATAATCATTGGTGATGATAATACTTACAGTGATTGTGATGACAGTAATGATTAGCATATTGGCAATGATGTTGATCGTGGCAGTCAAGAGGATGATGACAGTAAATATTTGTGACTGACGATGACGTAGTGACGGTAACAATGAAGACGAAATGGATGACGGTTATGATGGTGACCGTTGTGACAGATGCTTTATGGTGAAGATGACAGTACAGTAATCGTGATGAGGATGACGGTAACAATGACAGTAAAAAAATAATACAATTAATGAGGACAAGTGATCATGATGACGATGATTTTAAGGTTATGGCGTCAATGACGACGATGATGTGATAATAACAGCAACGATGAAGAGCTTGATGACAGTGATGAAGATATTGACGTTAATAACGATAACGAAGACGGTGACGCCAGGCGGAATGATGATAATGAACGTGATAAAGTTCAGAATCAGCATACTTATTTATACTGGAGGAATCCGATGAACTACAAAGCTATTTTTTTCCACAGATGTCCAGTAAGGGCCGGTCATAACGTTACAACTTACAACAATACAAAACACGATAGGGGTGCAAAGTATAGAAAAGGTAAACAAATCACTTAAAAATATACAAACAAATAAAAAATATTGCCAGGTAAAGCCCACTGAGGTGTTAAGTAATTTTCAGAAGCGACCTGGCGTCAAATCATAGCTCAACAAAGTCACTTACCATGTGGAAATGTATAGCTCGCAAAATAATCTTCATCGGTTACTGAATAACAGCGATCACGATAAGGATCATGAAGACCATGACCGAGATTATTTTGATAATGTTTCAATAACAGTAACGATAAACCGAGGATGGTGATGAAGATGGTGACAATTGATTATAACGATGTTAACAATATAAAAGATGACGCCACATTTACCTCACGTAACGAACTTAAAACATGTGTTGTATCTATGTTTGGGAAACAACAAAGCGTGGGAAGGAAAACAAAAAAAAATGCCTCTTAACATTTACTTAAAGCTTTCGTGACTGCAGGAATTAATATTCTTGGATATTTCGGTAAAAGTCACGTAGATAGGCTCAACCTAGGGTTCAACGACCCAAGAAATATGCCTCTTAACAGTGCAAACTGTTACAACCACATTAACCATAACAATTTCCAATAACAGCAGAGCGGCGCACTACACCACCACCACCAACGCCACCGTCTACAAAGCAATCGCGCCGAGCCCGATTAAAGTAACATGCGCACCGCTGAAGTCGCACTCCACCAGCACGATGTAGACGACCTGAGGATCCAGGTCCGGGAACATGGACACCATGGAATCCACCACCTGACCCCTCGTGGTGCTAGTTCCTGGGCCGCCCTCCCATGCTTCCTCCCCGGCAGGAGCGTGTAGGCCGTACGGGGTTTTCGGACCCTTAGCCTGTGCGTTGCCGACACCGGCGCGTTTCTTTCTGGGCATTTTTTTTTGTTGGTTTACGTTTGGATATCCAATTTACCGAAATATTTCACGGACTAATAATTAGTCGCCTGCGAAAACGTAACTTCGCTACTACTACGGTCTTTGAATTGCGCAAAGGGGGCTCCAAATATTTTTTACAATCGTATAACTCGTCTGTTTATCTTTTACAATCGTATAACTCGTCTGTTTCTCCACGGCGTCGAGGTGAGGGCCGAGGCGGCCAAAAATAAAATACAACATTCGCTCGCGAAATAAAACATCGTGGCAACTTTACGGCGATTCCGTGACATCTCCCCCCCCCCCCACAACGTATTGTTACGAATTAATGGGTTTAAAAAAAATATTTATTTAATAAGCCCTTGCACAATTTAAAAACGCGTCAACTTTAACCTTTACGCTGTAATGACGTCATCGCCGCCGCCGCCACCGCCCCTCCCCCTCCACGTCGATTCAACACGTGGCGACACCAACCCCACCCCATTCACTGGGGACATTTCCTGCCACTGCCCCAACATAGCTGGTGGAGCGGTGGTGTAGAAGCAGCGGTTAGCGCACTCCCCTGGGTCTTTCCCCTAGGTCGACTCAGCCTCAACAACGTGACTTTACCGAAAGAACCAAGAAGATGAATCCCTGCAGTCACGAAAGCTTGAAATCGAAAAAAAAAATGAACGTTCATTTAAATTTCTTTACCGCATTTAACAAGACTGGGGTGGAGGATTGAACTCGGAAACTTGAGTTGAACTCCAATATTTGACTAAAACAGTGCCAAATGATATTTGAACTGGTCCTTAGCTTGCCACTTCATTAAACCACACTGATCAGCAAAGTGATGGTCAAAACCTCCTATAGCCGACATGGTGTGGGGAGGCTTACACCCAGAAGTGGGTTGACAAATGGCTGTGAATTTGTATATTTAACTTAAAAATATATTTTTGTATGGTGTACATATGTTTCAGTGAAGTTTAAATTTACAAGGACTAACTTTCACGAATATTACTGCATATGTAAAAAAAAATCCATAACAAAGTGGCCAATTGCACTTTTTGTTACAAATTAGGAACAAAACCACAACAAAATACAAACATAAATTTTATTTACAGTATAATAAAAAAAATCAAAACCATCATCAGCCATTGTTTATCCACTGCCATCACCAACCCTTGCGAATTTTGGATGCAACAGTCCATCTCACTCTTGCACATGAACTGACCTCATGGCTCCATCTCCAGAGGGAAGGTACTCTCGGACGTGATCTCTCTTTTGGTTCCATTCAATCATCAGTCTCGCCCATCTACGGTTATGTAGCATTGTGCACTTTTAATATATTCTTCTACTTTTTTCAGTGTTTGTGCTTCTGATCCATATTTCAAAGTGGGTAGTATTTGAAAATAAATGATGTACTTCATCAATATGCACTCCCTTTCATAGTTTGTGTATACTATATAGCATAGAGGTGCATGCTTGGAATTGCACTGGGATAGAGAAAAAGGAATATAGGTCAGAGACCAAACACAAATTAGAACGATCATATTGAATTACAATTAAATAAAATTGACTAAAAGGAATTATGACAGTTGGATAAGTCTGGCTATGGAATGTCAGCCATCTCTTGATGCACAAAATTGAACGCCTTCTTTAGATCGACATAGCCTACAAGCAGCTTTTGCCAAAACCCCTGATGGTGCTCGGCAATAGACACAAAATGATCATATTATTTCACCCGTTGACTTTTTGAGTGTGAAGCCAGACTGTACAAATTATACTTTTCCTCCAACCTGGCTGTACGTCTCCGACTCCTTTAAATGGTCTGAAGTGTTTCCCCAGAAGCAAGCTCTTTTTTTTATCCTGGACTATCAGGCAACCACTGACAGCTTGCAGGCAGTCTCATTTAAAATCTCGTATACGGTAATGAGAGACACCCTATAGATTGCATGCTTCTGTCTCAATAGCATTGTATGCTCATTAACCACGATAACTTTTTCAACTGACGAAACCAGGCTGCAGATTGCGACAGCGACCCCTTTCTGCTACTCACCGACACAGCAACCACTGCTGATCTCACCGCCCCTGGAAGAAGCGTTGCATCTGAGAAACAGCGGCTGATCTCTCACCCTATATATCTCAGCGAATAGCAAGGGGCATTGCAAATGTTACGTCATGCAAGGGACATTGGTAGTATAAAATGCTATAAAAAAAATCAATGGGATGTTTACATTGTGCATTCAAAGTATAAATTTAAAATAACTACTGACAGTGAAGACAATTTAGACATTGCCCAAAACGTCAGTCAACTATTTTTTCCATTTCAAGGCCATTATGCTCATGACCAAATCACCTGAAATGTGCTCGATTTCATCAGATCTCAGAAGCTTTGCAGACTTGACCCTGAATAGTGCATGAATGGGTGACCACCATGCAGAAACAGGCTTTCATCGGGTTGCAGAGCTAGGTTGTGGGTATCAGACAGTGGGCCAGTAAAATCCAAAGTTTTACTGGACTGCTATTCTCACACATCTATGCTTCCCGCCTTCACCAACCCCACACTGACCAGCATGATGAAGTATTGTCCAATAACTCCCCGGACTAGGGATACTCTCATCCAGCAGTGCCTTGCCAAAAAAATTCTGTACATGAGTACCGGTACATGTTTACACATGTACACTTGTACACATGTGCAAAGCAGTGTTAATAATGCGGCTGCGTCAGTGAATGGATTGTCTGCGTTACACTCATGACCACTGTGTTGAAGATCCTTGGGCAAAAATAAGCAGCAAAGAAGTTCTGAAACTTTTATTAAGAGTTCTCAATAACACAAAAAAATAAACACGTATTAATTGCACGACCTTAAAAAGCACACATATACAATTGAAGACGTTGCGTGTACTGGACTTTCTTCATAACACATAAACAGAGAGGCGAGAGAGATAGAGTTAATAAGGGTTGGAAACTCCACTTAACACCATCAATGATTGAGACTGATGAGCATTAGATTTTTTAAATTGTTTCCTGATGCCAAGCAATTCAATAGGCACATGAATACCTTATAGTAATAGTAAGTACTGAGTTCCAGATAAAACCCTTCAATAATTAAAAAAACATCCCTCCAGACAGCTGACAGCACATGCGGAAAGATGCTGGGCTGAGAACAGAAAAAAAACCAACAGGAAATCAATAACATCCCACAGAAGTTACTTTTAAATAGTTTACATATTCAGGGGACATTCTCATCAGCCCTTCATACTTTGTAGTCTTACCTCTTCGCACTGTGGCCTTATCTTGGAACTCCATGGTTCATCCTGCGCACGATGCATTACTTTCTTAAAAACATATCGATTCTTAGGCTCACGAATCGCATCTGTACAAATTGAAGAACCGATGTTTTTGGATTTGTATGTTGTGTATTGAATGGGTTCACGTCATCTGTGTAGCCACTAGAGATGCTATCAGTTACTGAAATATGTCAGGCATATATTTTATTCACAAATTGAATGACCCTAAATTGCAACAATTGATCCTTATGGCGGTACCCCGGGGTACCAAATAATACTAAATGGCCTAGGCAATTAAATATTTTATTTCTGGGACACTATTTTTTTCCAGGGGTGAACTTAACTCCGCGACTGGGGTACCAATCAATGTGAAATCAGTGCTACTCCGCGATGTCAAAACACAGCGAGGACGATTGCGCTGAAACCCTGAACGCTCGTACGCACCACGGTGGTGCATCGTGTACAGCTCGTCCAGATGAGCCGATTGCCGCACCGCCGACCATCAACACACTAAAAATGACTGCATCACGGACATTATGCGAGAGCCGGGATACTATGGTGACCCCGGGGTACCGCCATAAGGTTCAAATAGCCTCCACACTGAGAATGGAAAAAGTGGTCAACAATTTTTGAGATGATATCTTTTACAATGGTCAGAATGTCATCAAGATCTTGAACCTACTGCACAAGAACTACTACCCATGCAATGCCTCTGTATATTATTCACGTACCACCATGTTTCACAAAACCCTTTTCAAACATTTATTGGGACGAGAAATGTGTTATACCAACCAGGACACAAGCTCTAAAGCGTTTACCAGGTTTATAATACCACAACACATCTGCCACAGAATTTGTACCTGCAGCGTGCAGTCGGTCTGATGTGATGAGTCTCATATGTCACTGTTGGATTGAACTGAAGAGGGTATGGGAAAGGAACAAAGTAGGGGGGGAAAAGGAACCAAACGAAAATAACTCAACAGGTATAAGTCCTGAAATGAAAAAAATGTGGAGCAGTGGAACAGTGGTTCGTACATTGCACTTTGAAATCAGTGACTCAAATAGGATTTCCGGCCACAGCTAACATCAGTGGTAAGTGATATGGGAACAATTCCTGACCCAACTACCCCCATCCCTTCACCAACCAGCAATGCCCAGTGTGGTGAAGTATGGTCAAACATATCCCATGATTGACACAGCGTGGCAATGCCTTCATCTAGCACTGGATGGACAATGCATTGTACGTTATTATATTTTAAAAAATAAACAAATTTGGTGTTTAGGCTCACATGAAAAAATAACGTTTATTCCATTATTTTAACATGTAATTTGCTTACCATGTTATTAACAAATTATACCATTAAAACATGTATCCAGATCATAATTACAATAATGGTAACTGCTGAAAATGTAATTAAAAGATTGCATTTTAGTTGGCTACTTATGATTTCATTTAAATATATGCAACATCAAAATCCCTAGTAGTTTAAACACCTAATAGGTTAAACATCATGCATAACGGCTGCATTTTAAAATAGAGCTGCTGTGACATTCATTCAACTTCAGTGCCAAAATGAACCTGATCGGTCAGTTTTTTGGTTGTACTGCATGTTTATTGGCATTGTATGACGTTTCTCTCCACCTAAATATTCAGTTATAGAAACATTTGTAAATATAACTGAATTACTGATATAAAAAAATATGAGACTTTTAGAGTCTTTGTATACCCCTAAAATAGATTTCACGTCAGCTTTCGAAGGCGGATGGGTATCAACATGATAAAGCAAATAGGCGACGAGCAGATTTAAGTCCTCCTCTTGTCAGACCGTTGCTAGCTTGAACTTTGTTCACGTGAACCCTCGATTTGTAAATTGATTTATTTAACATTAACCTTTTCGGTCATGCAACAACAAGTGGTCCAAGTTACAGAGCGATCCGAGTTCCAAAACCTGTATCTTCTCTTTCCGCTATGTAAATACAAAATTTGGTGGTCAAGTTGTAGTCAGAATTTCAAAATTAAACTTTCTCTATCATTCAATGGAAAATGTGCTAGTAAAAAATCCATCAACCAATAAGTTATCACTACCAACTCTGTGACACGTACTCTTTGGTTCTTTCGGTAAAGTCACGTAGGTAAAAAATAAAAATAAAG